GCCCCGTTCTGTTTCTCACGGACGCCTAAAGCCAAAAATCCCCTGTCATGGCCAGATAATACCCGGTTGGGTATTTCTGCTCATGGCCGGGTATTTTTGCTCTCCAGCACACTTCAAGCCTCACTTGCTCCTTTTGACCCGAATCTCGTTCCTTCGCCTCGATTCCAACGCCGGGTCTTGAAATATGACATAAACATACAACCTCGCGTGAAATCGGCTTAAAACACGAGAATCAACATCTCAAACGGCTCAAGAATAGGGGTAAAAACATGTGCAATTATCAGTCTATCAGAACAACAACAAGGAACGGGGTTGCCGAATCTGGAGTGAGCCGCGGACTAGGTCGCTTTCTTTAAGACGTTCGCGACACTGCCCTCGATGCGCACGACAACCTATCTACTGGTCGTCTCCAGGATGAAACAACCCATCTCATATGCTCGCGGTTTTGTGCAAAAATCGAAGCTCTATGAACACTCTCTCTATTGTGTTTCTGCTCGTATTGTGGTGTGTTTAGAGAGGCTGGGGAGGCGACAATTTATAGGAGTCGAACCCCTAGGAATATACCCTCTTACTGCGCGCGCGTGTGTTTGTGGTGGTCCGTTAGGTCCTTCCTCTCCCACAAAAGTGGGTCACCCCAAGGGGCATGCCCTTAGGTGAGAGGATCCTATTCTTATACACATCATAAGAGTAAAACTACCAATGTGGTAGTTTTTCCTAAGTTGAGCATATAGCAAACCGTCAAAAAAATATCACCCACCAAGAAGAAGCATTTGCATAATTGAGCATAATAGCCACAACTAAGTATGTAAATGTCATATTTTTCCGCTCAGTTTTACCATTCATTTCTGGTGAATATGGTGTCGTGGTTTCATGAATGATACCATGTGAGCTATAGAATTCCTTGAAGGGATTAGAGTCATCTCTGATCCTCTATCACTCCTAAGTTGTTTTATTTTTTGATTGCACTGATTTTCAAATTCAACCGCAAATACCTTGAATATATCAAGGGCTTCACTTTTGTTTTTCATCAAATAAACAAAGCAATAATCAGAGCAATCATCTATGAAAGTGATAAAGTATCTCTTGCCAGACCTAGTTAACGTCCCATCTAGTTCACAAATATCAGAATGAATCAGATCTAGGGGTTCTGATTCTCTACTCACAAATTTATGAGGCATTTTCGTTATCTTAGCTTGGCTACAGAAATCAAATTTATCAAATTCATTCATTGAGAGTTTAGGGATATGTCCTAGCTTGCTTAAATTCTTCACAATTCGTGTGTTCACATGACAAAGACGAGCATGCCGAACATTCAAATCACACACCATGTGAACTGAAGAATCCATCTTATTCTTTTGACATTCAACTTGAACATCCCATTACATGCATATCCCTTTCCCACAAAACTCCCATTCTTAGTAAGGGTATACAAGTCTGCCCAAATAGATTGATTAAACCAAGCCTTATTAAGAAGATATGCCGAAACAAGATTCTTCCTTATCTCTGGAGTGTGCAACATATCCTTGAGCACCATTTTCTTCCAAGAGGTGAGGTTCAGCTCCACTTCACTAGAACCAGCAACCATAGTGGTGTGGGCAGTCCCCAGCAACACTTTCTTATCAGCAGGTGCTTCTGTGTATGTTTTAAACATAGCACGATTGTTACATACATGCTTCGATGCACCTGTATCCAGCCACCATCCTTTTGAGTCACCGGTAAGGTTGACTTCAGCGATCATATCCGTGATCATGACTATCAAGTCCTCTGCTGTCAAGTTAACCCTGGCAGCAGCAGCAGGGTTAGGCTTGTTCCGGTATTTTTTTGCCATATGACCCGGTTTCCCGCAGTTATAGCAGATAAATGGTGGGTCATTCTTAGAGGGTTGGTTCGTGACCCTTTGGTTACCTCGAGAGGTACCATTCTGGTTGGGGCGGAGCTGCTGGTTGTTACTCTTGAAACTTTTCTGGTTAGGTTTTAGAGCTCTAGGGGTAGGTCGTTTAGCAGTGACGACCATCACCTCTTCTTTCATATCATGCTTGCGGGACTCTTCCTCAATACTTAGGCGAGTAATCAAGCTTTCTAGTGAAATTTTTTTAGTTTTATGTCTAAGCATATTCTTAAAATCTTTCCACGAAGGGGGTAGCTCATTGACAGTGCAAGCAACTTGAAACTGATCGTCTAGAGATATACCTTCAAAGACGATCTCATGAGCTATTTTCTGAAGTTCATGGGATTGAACTTTGACGGACTTGTCATCCACCATATGGTAGCGCAGGTAGCGGCTGACAACATACTTCTTAGCTCCAGCCTCCTCCTTGTCGTACTTATTTTGGAGCGCATCCTAGATCATCATTCGGTGTTCTGTTTGTCCGCATAATAGTCGTAGAGGTCGTCCGCTAGGCCGTTGAGGAAGTAGCAGAAGCAGCCCTCTCCTCATCGGTCGTTTCTTCCGGCAGCTCGACGGGCATGCTGGTGAGGCAGTGTGCCAACTTCTTGGTCGTCAGGTAGAACTCCATCTTTTGTCTCCAGCGACGGAAGTTGAATCCAACAAAGCGGAAGGGTCGATTGATATCGACAGCACCAGATCCAGTCGTGTTGTTATGTTTAGTCGATATAGCAGCAGCTGAACGTCTTAAAATTGTTAGGAACTGAACAACAACAAGGAACAGGGTTACCGAATCTGGAGCTGGTCGCGGACTAGGTCGCTTTCTTTAAGACGTTCGCGACACTGCTCTCGATGCACACGACAGACTATCAACCGGTCGTCTCCAGGATAAAACAGCTCATCTTGTATGCTCGACCATTTTGTGCGAAAATCGGAGCTCTATGAACACTCTCTCTATTGTGTTTCTGCTTGTATTGTGGTGTGTTTAGAGGGGTTGGAGAGGCGGCTATTTAGGATTCGAACCCCGCGGAATATAACCTCTTACTTGGGGAATAAGTCGAATTAATTAAGGAAGATAATTACTTCCTTAATTAAAATGAGTCTATAAGATAATTCCTGACATAATTATCCCTCGAATATTCCTTTTGAATGATTATCTTCGTATCTGTTAAGGATACAAGACAATCAAGTCGTAATTAATTATTATTTAATTTCGGAATTTCTATAAAAAATATTAGTCTCAATCAAGACCCATCCATCCGATCGGTCGATCAGATGGCGCGTGGGTGTGGTGGTCAATTAGGTCTTCTCTCTCCCACAAAAGTGGACACCCCAAGGAGCATGCCCTTAGAAGAGAAGATCATATTCTTATATACATATCATAAGAGTAATACTACCAATATACTAGGTTTTCCTTTGATTCTTATAGTTTTCAAAATTATTCATTTTTCATTCAATTCAAACAGGTAATACCCACAAAAGAATAGGGATGGATCAAGAATGAGTTTAGCTGCCCCTCTCCATCTTGATACTCATAAATTTCTCGTGCGTAATTATTATAATACACACCTTTGATTCTAATTTGATATAGGGTTGGCACATTATTCACTCTCTTTGGGAAAATGAATCGCTATTTGCCGCTAGTAGTTTTACTATTTGCCGCCCGTAGTTACAAAAAATAAGACGATTTTGCCCTTGCTCTATTTTAAAACCCTAACCCTATCTACCCTCAACCTTCACCTCCCAACCCTCTCCCAATCTGCAGAAAAGCCCACCGCCAACACCCTCCAAGCTGCCGACCAACCCAGCCGCCAACCCCCTCCAAACTGCCGACCAACCTACCAATCCGTCGCCGCAGCCGACCACTCCTCCCTCCTGCCGATCAGAAGCCGCCGCCGCGAGCCCAGAAGCTGCCGCCGACGAGGACCCTGACCAGCAGCGCCGTCCGACCTCCCCATCTCGCCGTCGAGCGCAGAATTCGTCGCCGCCGAGTCTCCCTTGTTCGATCTCGCCGCCGCCGACCTCCTAAGCTCGCTCCAGGTAATTTTTTTTTTATTTTTGTCTTCACACGGTCCGACTTGCCGGAGCGGACGGGGTCTGACTTGCCGGAGCGGACGGGGTCCGACTCCCCTGGTCGGACGCGGTCCGCCTCACCCGGTCGGATTGGGTTTAACTGATTCGGTTTAATGAAATATTTATTAGATTTATTTTAAATTCAATTGTTAGTAACTTAATTAGTTTAATATCATAGTTGAATAATTAGTACTATCGGATGAGGCCATCAACATGGAGGAGGTGATTGTTGAGGATTGCACTGAGGAAGAGCTGAATGCGGTGAAAGCATCCAGTAGCGCAGCACAAAGCACGATACCACGTTAGTTGAATGATTAGTATATAAACGTTGGTTGAATAATTAGTATATAATTGTTGATTATATAATTAGTATATAAATGTTAATTATATAATGTGTTAGCTTATTAATTGGTTAAGTTGAAATAATTATTTAAATAACTATCTATCGTATTGAGTAAAGTAACTATCTAGTTAAATTAATTACATAACCAAGTTGTATGTATCATAATTAGTAATTGATAAATTATGACTATGAATAAATTGCTAATCAAATAATTTAATATAAGAGATTAATAGATAATTATTAACTATGCTAATAGATAATTATTAACTATGCTAATAGATAATTTATTATAATAATTATCTAAATAATTATTTTCAATAATTGTTAATTTTAAATAATTATCTATGATGTTTTAGTTAAGTAATTGAGTAAGTTGAAATAAATATTTAAATAACTACCTATCGTATTAAGTAAAATAACTATCTAGTTAAATTAATTAGATAACCAAATTGTATGTATCATAATTACTCTATGAAACAACAAGTAATTGCTCAACAAATAATTTATTATAAGATATTAATAGAAAATTATTGACTATGTTTAGAGATGGCATCACCTGGTAATTCTGGAGGATCACGTAGTTCTAGAAGAGCTGGAAAGAGATTGAGAAGATTCCTTGGGCGCCCTATTAGCGCTAGTGCGAGAAATAGGGGCCCAAATGATAGAGATGAGCCACAGCCACAACGAGTAGTGACACCGATGAGTTTGAGGGCCGACGGTTTTCCTCAGTTTGATTTTCAGATGCCTAGTAGGGCTGGTAGTGGAGCTGGTTCCAGTCGTGATCATGCTTCACCGTTTGAGCCTTCAGATGAGATTGATGACGAGTCGGAGGAGTATGAGTCGGATGCTGTTGAGTATCGCATTCCACCAGTCAGTCCGATCAGAGATAGAGGTGCCCCCAGCGGATCGTCACATGCCGTTACTGGGCTTCATGCTGTTACTGGGATCTATAGAGACCATGCGGGGCGTTTCTATAGAGCTCTACAGCTTGGTGAGGGCCAGAGTGGTACTGCTGATGTGGGAGAGGCCTGGGAGCCTAGAGGACCGTGTCCTGGTGGGCCGAGCGACCCGAGTTTGCTCCGTAGCTTTCCTGGGCATGTTGCCCACAGTCTGTACACTGGAGAGGCTGATAGAGGGGTGATCACTTGCTACGACAGGAGTTCGACCCTTCGCCACGTTCTCGACGGTTATGTGATAGCAGATGATAACGCTAGGACTACCGTAGAGACATCGGGCCTTGCTCACCTCGTTGATATCACCTTCCAGAGCGAGCTGGACCCTGCTCTCATCTCGGCATTTGTGGAGAGGTGACAGCCGGATACCAACACCTTCCACATGCCGTTTGGAGAGATGACGATCCTCCTTCACGACGTGGCACACATTCTTGGGCTTGCGGTTGAGAGAGAGGCGATGGTAGTGGATCCGAGGCCGTTGGAGAAGTGTGCACTGGAGACTGACATCCGAGCACTACTGGGATTAGATCGTGACGATTCTGAGTACGGGGAGCAGGTTGGCGAGGTTGCCAGTCTGTCTAGGTGGTACAGAGGATTTGGTTTGTTGGGTGTGGGAGATTTGACTCATTTGCAGCAGTCTGGTCCACCAGCTAGAGAAGCTCAGTGTTACCTTCTTTTGCTGCTTGGGTCCACACTGTTCGTAGATAAGAGTAAGGACCGCGTTTCTGCTGTTGTCAACTTGTTTGTGAAGAGGCCGGATATGCTCGGAGAGTACGCGTGGGGGGCAGGAGCACTTGCGTATCTGTACAGGCAACTTGGTATTGCCTCTCGGGCTGAGGCTAAGGGAGTGGCGGGTTGTCTGACTTTACTACAGTGTTGGATTTACGACCACTTTCCTACCTTGAGGCCTAGTCGGTTGGAGCCACGAGAGCTGGAGCAGGGGCAGGGAGGAGCATTCAGGTGGCGCGGTACAGCACCCCAGTCGATGAAGAAGAGGGATGCACAGATGTTGGCTTATTATTGGCAGGCGATTGATTGTTTGACCCCTCAGTCAGTTTGTTGGACTCCGTATGGTCAGAGTCCTCATCTGACGGTGAGACGTACCTTGTATCAGGGTCTGCTCAGATTTGAAGAGATAGTAGAGCCATATGATCCCACTAGGTGCCTACGACAGTTAGGCTACCTGCATAGTGTACCGTATCCCCCGGAGCGTCCGCTTGTTGTGCGTCGACCTGCTTCCACGCTTGGATACTCTCTTAGCTACCAGTCTGTTTATGATTCGTGGTGGAACAACTTGCGGGCGCATAGTGTTCATCTGGACCTTTATTCTACTCTGGTACGACGTAAGCCATGGGAGTCTGCTGAGGATTACATGGGGTGGTACATTAGGCACTCGCACCCACAGATACTGAGTGACAGCCGACCTCGTCACGACATCACGGATGTTGATACGGTTAGTACTTTTATATTTGAAATTATTTGTATTAAGTAAAATTTTGTTTGATTGTAACTAATATGTATTTAAATTTTATGGTTTTTGTTTACAGTTGTCACACGAGATGTGTTTTGAGATATCTCCCGTGATGGATGCTGCACAGGGTAGTAGGGAGGAGTGGATGGCTAGCGCCAACGAGTACTACGACTTATGTCATGGAGTTGGGGACATGTGGCCCGAGTTTAGGAGGAAGTCGGGTTTTCTACCACCTCCACAGTAGTTGTATGATTTTTATGTCATATGTATGAGTGTTATTTTTTGTTTTTAGACGAGTTGACTTATGTTATTCTGTTGTTCTACTACGACTTATGTTATGTGGTGTTCAGTTGCTTATTTGTTGTTTTGAGACTATGACTTATGACTTATGTTATTTTTTGTATCTGATTATGACTTATGTGGTTTATGTTGTATGTTTTTATTATATCATGTTTCCATGTGACGTAAACAAACTTCATTACAATTTATTTAAAGTGAAGACGTTCATTATAATTTATTTAAATTGAAGACGAGTACAAATTTATTTCTTTGGAACCCTCTTTTTGCGCGATGGAAAGCTATGAGTCCCACCGCCAAGATCGAACCACATTTGACTAAACGGCGTGAAATATGTATCCCATCCATCCACGCTTTCTTGGTGACCTCCTGGCCACATGCCATGTAGAGGGGGCATCGGTATCTTGTCCGCCGGGAAAGAGAGGTTGATCCAATGATCCTGGACGAAATGCAGAACAATGACTCCTCTAGGATTGGTTGCCCCAGATATGTTGTCCACTGGCAGAATGGTACAGTTGTACGCACTTGGTACTGGCAAGAGGTAAGAGCTGTACATGACAACAGCCAAATTAAATAGTGTGGCAAATATGAATAGATCCACACCCATCATCCAATGACGTTGAGTCGTTGGTGCTGTAGTAGCGATGTCAATGCGTCTGATTGCCGCATTCACAGATTCACCGTAGATGGGTGCGTATCGCCAATCGTGCTCACGGAGTTCTTCAGCAAGTAGTCGCCTCACCTCTGGGAACCCATCTTGATTACCATATAATGCAAAACTAAGTGCACGAAACCCACAATGATCGTCTGGCACCGGGTCGTGGATGGCAATGATAAGTAATAAGATCCCGAATGAAGACAGGAAGCAGTACCATGTGTGCGTAATCAGACTGGGTGCTGGATCCAGGGATATCTGTGAACGAAATAGATAATCAGCACATATTCTACATAAATTATTAATATAAATAACTACACTTATGAAATTTTTAAATAGCACATATTCTACATAAACTATTAATATAAATAACTACACTTATGAAAATTTTAAATTGTACCTGTGTCCGGATTGTTGTATTTGTTGTTTTCTTCGCGATCATCACACTCCTCAGTTGCATGGTCGTCTGACGGGTAATCGTCTGTCTGAGTCCCCGTGGACTTGGTACTGGTCGACTTTGTAGACCCCGACGTTTGCTTCCCGACTTCTTTTTCATGTATTTCTTCTTGCCTCGCAATATCTTTTTCCACCACCCTTTAGTTCTTCCAGTTGATTTTTTGGTTGGGCGTCCCTTTCGTGATTCGTTCACTTCTGGCTCGTGATTGTTGTCTTCCGCCGGGTGGAGACCGCGAAACACGTTCTTTGCTGCTTTTTTCGTTGCCTCTGGTCCTCTCCGTACAGCCTCATCAACCAACTCCTGAAGGTGACATTTAGCCTCCTCCTCCTGGGGAACGTACTCCTGAGCATTGGGTGGATGCTCGTATGTCAGTGTACGCCAATATATATGAATATCACCTGGGAGTTCTCATTTTTTTCCAAGCGAGCCGCCAATTCTTCTTCAGCCTCCTTCATTAATATAATTGCCTGCATGCTGACTGCCCTTCTCAAGTATGTGAAGGGTGTACCACCGAATGCTGAAAGGGTTTTCTGTCTAGATTTTTCCAACATCATCCTAACCTCCCCGAGTTGGTTAGTAATGTAGCAGTGGTTTCCTTTCCATACAGTGTTCATAGATCCCCGCGAATTGTGGAGGAAAGTTTTCAAAGCGGAATGTGAAGACTCAACTCTGTTTGTGCTCGTATTTCCTAGATGAAACACATTTTTTGTATGACAAACTGCCCACTTTTCTCGATGTTGCCACCACACTCCCTGTATGTATTGCAACAGACGTGGCTCGTGATTGCCCCATCTTGTCCTAAAGTGGCCAAACGCGGCCAACATACCTTGCTCGGACCAAGAATAAAGCATAGGACACCAATATTGATCGTACGCCTCGCTGAACAAATCCATCCAGTCCTTCCCAAATATTTCCAAACACTTCTTCTGCACATTGGTCTTGATGTGCCAAACACATAGCAAATGCGGGGTGCGGGGTGCGGGGGAAGACCACAGAAACCGTAGCAAGTAGTCCACCTTCGTGGTCGGTGACAGTGGGCATGCGTGGATGGAGCAATTGTGGTATGCACTCCAACAGCCACAGATACGACTCTTTTGTCTCATCCTTCATGAGAGCACAACAGATGTTGAAATTCTTCCCAACTGGAGTAGCACCTACGACCTCCACCCATGGCCATTTATATGCATTGGTCTTATACGTTGAGTCGATCAGAATCACGTACGGCCAAGCCTTCAACATCTGGATGGAAGTTGGATGGGCAAAAAAAAGATGTGTAAGCACGTCGTTATCGTCCTTCATAACCTCTATATGATAATTCTCACGTTCAGCTGCTTGCAACGCATACTGCACTGCATTCATCTCGCCCATCTCGTCTTTCCTAGACTTGGAACCGAGGTTATACATCTGCCTTTGGGTGTGATGCCCTTTGTCACCCTTCTGCTTGTTAATTGTCTGCTTTTGTTGCGACGGAGGTACCCCAACATCTCTCATCTGCTTCAGAGATTCTTTATCCTCCTGACTCAATTTATTCATTTGACTGTGGCCCTCGGGATAAAGCATCTTCTCATGATTGTGATACCCTCGCCTTAAACCGGTTTCTTGCTCAATCACTGCTTGTATCTCCCAGAATGAAGGTCCATCAAGAGCATCTGGATCAACCAGTAGTTCTTTGATTTTAACCTTGAACATGCATCCCGATCCTTTTGAACTTGTATTTCCACGACTCTCAATGGGAGGATCCGGCTTGTATGACTTCCTCTCCCTACTGCATTTGTCGCAATACATATAACACATACCCAATACTTTATTGTTGCGCAACTCACGTGGCTTCATCGATCCCTTAGTTACAAAGAAACCAAGAGACATCGCGATGTTTTTGGTCACTGTTACAGCATCTTCGAAATTGTCATATCGGACGCCATTGAGAAAATGGTCTTTGTAATCACCAATTAGTTCAACATTGGAATCCATGTCCACCTGCAATTATGATTTCACAACTCGTTAGAAAGGTACAAATTATATGATTCTACAAAATTAAACTAAATTAATTAACTCTACAAAATAAAAATAATTTGATGATAAGAAATTTAATTAAATATAAATTATTAAACCAAATTAGCTCTACAAATTAAATCTAAACACAATAAACTAATTACCGCTACAACAAAACACAATCACTTAATTAAACTAATTCTGCTTCAATTGACTCTACAAAATTAAACTAAATGAAATAATTTAATTAACTCTAAACAATAATGATAATTTGACGGTAAGAAAATTATTTAAATATAAATTATTAATCTTCTTTAGCTCTACGAATTAAATCGAAACATAATAAACTAATTAGCGCTACAACAAAACACAATCGCTTAATTAAACTAATTTTGCTATAATTGACTCTACAAAATTAAACTAAATGCAATAATTTAATTAACTCTAAAAAATAATGATATTTTGACGGTAAGAAAATCATTTAAATATAAATTATTAAACTTCTTTAGCTCTACGAATTAAACTAATTGTGCTTCAATTGACTCTACAAAATTAAACTAAATGCAATAATTTAATTAACTCTAAAAAATAACGATAATTTGACGGTAAGAAAATTATTTAAATATAAATTATTAATCTTCTTTAGCTCTACGAATTAAATCTAAACACAATAAACTAATTAGCGCTACAACAAAACACAATCGCTTAATTAAAATAATTGTGCTTCTTTAGCTCTACGAATTAAACTAATTGTGCTTCAATTGATAGCTCTACGAATTAAACTAATTGTGCTTCAATTGACTCTACAAAATTAAAATACATGCAATAAATTAATTAACTCTAAAAAATAACGATAATTTGACGGTAAGAAACTAATTAGCGCTACAACAAAATACAATCGCTTAATTCAAACTACATATGAATTTAACTATGTAAATTAGAAATAAAAGCAATGAATTAAATATAAATTATTAGCTCTAGAATTAATAATATGTCACACGTTAGATCGAAAAAGCAAAAGGCGAAAAGAAAAAAAAACCCTTTCTCTCCATCGTGGAGAGTGGGCGAGAAACCGTCGCCGTAGTGCACATCGCCGTAACCGGCCATCCCTGCATCGTGCTCCGCCGGCAACGGGGAGGGGAACGATGGGGGCTATAAATCCCTCTAGGTGGGCAAAGCGTTTCCCATCGCTGATTCGAGCATCCGTAATCAATTGCTTGCGAAGCCGGAGAAGCTACCCGCTATCTATCTCAATTCCAGTCGAAATGGCAGGCGTGAATGCAGTTATCTTTGGTGATGCCGACGTCGTTGCTGGCGTCGAACGGAATGAGTTGTCTTTGCTGGGTAGGATTGTTGGACCGGCCCCTCCGATTCGACATCTGCAATCGACGATGGGGAGAGTGTGGCAATGCCGCGGTGCTATTTCGGTACTCCCGGCGGCCGCAGGGCTTCTTCAATTTGTGTTCCCGACAGAGGATGACATGGACAGGGTCCGCAAGCTATCGCCATGGTTCCTCCCCAAATTTCTGGTTAATCTCGACCCCTGGGTGGAGGTTACGGAGACGGTTGCAGATCAACTCTGGCGGATTCCCCTAGATCTGCAATTCTGGGGCATCCCCCCCCCCCCCAGTGTTGTACTCGGAAAATGGCATCTCTCCTTGGCTCGGCTCTGGGGAAGAGTGACTCGGCCACGGTGCATCGGATCCCTGGCTCTGGTGAGCTCTTCCTTCGCGCGAGGGTCTGGGTTGACGGCCGCCTCCTACTGCCGGTCTCGGTGCCTGCATCCCACGACAAGGGAGGCATAGGTCCGTTCACAGCGACAGTCACCTACAAGCGTCTGTCCCAGTTCTGCTATCTGTGTGGGATCTTGGGCCACGTTGGGAAACAATGCCCTCGACGCGAGGAGCTAGCAGGCACGGTGACGCCTTATGGCCAACACCTGGTTGCGACCAAGTCAGGGCCGAAGGTGAATGAACTCTCCCTGTTATCCCGGAAGCAATTCACCTGGGTTAGACAGGGTGCTGCTGGAGCTGGTGTACCTTTGAATGCTGCTCGGCAGGGGTCAACTGTTGATCGCAGCGGACGGTGGTCGGCCGAAGGCCAATGCTACTGGAGTGTCTGGCCTGGTCCCGAGTGCTGGGGATTCATCTAGTGGAGAGGGCTTGAAGACATCGCCTGCAACCCCACTGATCAAGAACAGGGAGCTGCTGACTGAGCCTGAATTTTCGGCTATGACAAAGAAGGCTCGTACCGATCCATGGGACTCTTCGATCAACAATGTAGACTGTGATGTGGTGGTGGCAACCAGCCCAGACTGGTCCCACCCGGCGCCATGAGTATCATTGCCTGGAACTGTCGGGGGCTTGGCTCACCCTTGACGGTGCCCTCATTGCTTGGAGCTCTGTATAGGTTTTCTCCGTCAGTTATTTTCCTTAGTGAAATCAAGCATGACAATGACTATGTACATAAGAAGCTCGTGCGTTTGGGGTTCCAGGCAATCCATTGTGTCCCCCCTGTTGGCTTAGCAGGTGGATTAGTAGTAGCTAGTGTTCCTAGTGTCCTGTGTAGAGTTCTAGGTCAGGCTGAGTTCTTCTTGTTTGTTGAACTGCAACATATGGTTTGGGGTATGGTAGCAGTATTATTTGTTCATCTCAGTAGTGATGTAAATATCCGTAATGACCAGTTTAATGACTTCTCCTTTTGCTTTCGACTTGTGCCCTTCCCAAAGTAGTCCTAGGTGATTTTAATTGCCTCCTCCATGCAGGTGAGAAGATGGGAGGCAGACCTCCTTCATTTCAGGTTATGGAATCATTTCGTGCCTTTACTGATAATGCAGGATTGTTTGACTTGGGATTCAAAGGACCACCATACACATGGTCTAATCGACAAGGCCTTTCCACCCACATATTAGAGCGCCTGGATAGAGCTTTAGTCACTGACAATCTTTTGTCTCTTTGGCCTCTAATGCATCTTACTCATCTTTCAGATCTTGGGTCCGATCACAGGATCATCTTGCTGCAGCTAATTCCGGGAGTAGGGAAAGGGAAGCCGAGTTTTCATTTTGATCACAGATGGTGTCAAAATAATGATGCACATGCCATTGTCTTGGGTGAGTGGCAGGTTTCAATGCAGGGAACGCCTCAATTTCAGTTGTTCTCGCTTTGCAAGGCAGTGAGGCATCGGCTAGTGGAATGGGCACGTATGGGCACTACAAACTCGGCGAGGCAAATCAGGGAGCTGCGATCCGCCATAGAATCAGAACGTGATACATTTCCAGTGAATTGGGAAGTGATCCAGGTACTTGAAACTCAACTGGCAGCCGCGTACTTACAAGAAGAGGCTTATTGGAAGCAAAAATCAAGAACCAATTGCCTGCAAGTTGGTGATGCTAACACGAACCACTTTCACCGTGCAACTACACAACGGCGGAGGCAGAATTTCATTGAAGCCCTTCAAGATGAAGCTGGTACCCGACACTATGATGAGGCTGCTAAAGGTAATATCTCTATTAGGTTCTTTGAGAAGTTGTTCTCGTCTAATGGGATCCCCCCCTATTTTCTTCGTGAATGCTTTGGGAATCCCCCGGAAGATTACTCATGCTCAGAATTCCTACCTGGCTGCTCCTATTACACGTGAGGATATTAGAGTTGCAGCTTTCAGCATTGGTGCTGGACAAGCTCCGAGGTCGGATGGGCTAACCGGAGCTTTTTTCAGTCATATTGGGATATTATCGGAGACTCCGTATGCAGGGCAGCTCTGTCATTCTTCCAGTCTGGCCGTTTGCTACAGAATTTCAATCATACCATTATCACTCGAATCCCGAAGGTGCCCAATGCGGAGCTGATGAAGCAAATGCGGCCGATTAGTCTATGTCAGGTGTTCTACAAGATACTATCCAAGATCCTCACAGCTAGGCTGAGTACTATCCTTCCCTCGGTGATCTCGGCTGCACAAAATGGCTTCGTCGAGGGGAGAGATATATCCGATAACGTCCTCATCGCCCAGGAAGTCATGCAATTTCTGAAAACGAAGGCTTCTGGTCGGGATAAGTGGATGGCGCTCAAGCTGGATATGGAAAAGGCATACGACCGGGTTGAATGGGGTTTTCTATTTGCAGTTATGGAGGCTTTGGGTTTCGGACCTCAATGGATGAAATGGATTAAATCGTGTGTTACTACAGTTTCTTTCACGGTGCTGCTCAATGGGAAAGAACATGGTTACTTCCGACCTCATCGGGGTATTTGGCAAGGCGATCCTCTTTCTCCTCTGTTGTTTGCTATTTATACAGAAGCTTTCTCTACTCTGCTTCTTAATGCTCTTGATTTGCAGCAGTTACATGGCTTGAAGGTTCATCGCCTTGCACCTACCATCTCTCATCTATGCTTCGCCGATGACACCTATCTATTCCTGCGTGCAACCTCAGCGGAATGTGAGAATTTGCTTCAGTTATTGCGCCCCTTTGAGGAGGCTAGTGGCCAGCGCATAAATCTTCAAAAGTCTTCAGTCTGTTTCAGTGCCAATGTAAGTGATCATGAGAAGAATATTCTGGTCAACATCCTTGGCATCTCATCCATTGGCCCCCTTGACAAGTACTTGGGACTTCCGGCTCAAATTCAGCGATCAAAGGTTCAAACCTTCCAGTTTGTTGAAGAGAACCTTGCTGTCCGCATTCAAAGTTGGCGTTCCAAATTGCTTTCCCTTGCTGCGAAGGAAGTCTTGATTAAGGCCGTTGAGTCATCCTTGCCGGTTTATACTATGTTCTCCTTTCGTCTGCCATCCACTTCTTGTCGCAGGTTAAATAGTCAGCTTGCTCGATTCTAGTGGGCTGGTCAAGACAAGGAGAGGGGCATGCACTGGATCTCATGGCCGGCAATTTGTTTTAGTAAATTCCATGGCGGCCTTGGCTTTCAGGATTTTGATCTTTTTAATGTTGCAATGCTCGGTAAACAAGCTTGGAAGGTTCTTCAGTGCCCAGAGTCTCTTCTTGCAAGAGTGTATAAAGCGCGATATCACCCTCTCTGTGACTTCTTGTCTGCGCCAGCTGGGCACGTCCGTCCTGGGTTGGCAAGGTGTTCTGGAAGGGCGTGAGTTGTTGAAACGTGGGCTGCGGTGGCAAGTAGGCTGTGGATCGGCAATCCGCACCCTAGAAGATATCTGGCTACCTTCGACTCCTCCCTCGACTCCGTCCCTGCTTCCCGGCATCTCGCTGCCTAGTCCGTTTGTGGCTGGCCTCATTCATCCGCTCACTAGAACTTGGAATATAGACTTAATCCAGACGTCCTTTACTCCTGAGAGTGTGTCATGGATCCTCTCCATTCCAATTCCAGCGGCGCCCCAACCGGACAAGCTTATTTGGCATTACGATTCTTCTGGTCAATATACTGTTACAACAGGTTATCAGCTGCAAGCATCCAGCAGGCAACTTCAGTACGATCAGCTTACTCCTCCCCTCAACACGCAATTCTGGAAAATGCTTTGGAGTCTGCCGATCCCCCCGAAACTCAAGTTTTTCCTTTGGCGGGTGGTCAGAGGATTCCTCCCAATGCAGTCAATTCTTAAAGGGAAGCACCTCTGTGATTCTGATTCTTGTCTAGTCTATTCAAATGGTGCGGAAACCATATCTCATTGTTTCTTTGAATGCAGGATTAGTCGAGCCATTTGGGCTCTTGCTGGGAAAGAACAAATTCGGTTGTCCATGTCTTTTGTGACAAATGATGTTGCTTGGCATGATCTTTTCTTTTCTATGCAGCTCTCCAAATTACAAATTGCAGAAGTGGTTTTCCTCACTTGGCGCATTTGGAAAGGTCGGTGTTGGTCAGTCTATGACAAAATCCAATACCTTCCAGGTCCTCTCTTTAGACAGTACAACAGGCAGGTCGAGGAATGGAGGGAGGCGGCTGCGCTGCCGAGGGAGAATGCTCCGAGGCCAAGGCAGGTCAGGCAACCAGTAGCTGATCCTTCTTGCCCCCCTGGTGGACTTCTTGTCCGATTCGATGGTGCGACGAGACGAGGTGTGGGAGGAAGCATTGGATTCGTCGGATTTGATAGCGACCACTCCTTGGTTTGTGCATACATTAAGTTTTACGAGGGCATTTGGGACCCATTCCTGTTGGAATTATTAGCTTTGAGGGATGCAATGTTGTGGAGTATTAATCGGGGTTTTTCTGCTGTCTGTTTCTGTGGTGATTCCCAATTGGTCATCCGCCGTGCATTGGAGAATGATGTCAACCATGACCGCGGAGGAGCGGTGCTAGAGGAAGTGCGGAAGTTGAAGTCTTCCTTTGCTTTTATTACGTTTGTATTTGCTCCTCGTAGAACTAACAGGGCTGCCCATCGCGTGGAACAAACGGCCCTTGCATCGATAGCGACCCTTTTGGTTGACTACCGTTCTTTCATTTCCGCTGCATTGTAATACCGTATCTATTACGATCTATCTATGAAATAAAATAAAAAAAATTAATATGTCTCAAATTAAAAAAAAAAAGACACTGCCATATCGCCGTCCGCTTGCCGGCCGCGGACGGGGTCCGATGCCGGCGGGCGGGGTACGACGCTGTCGATCGGACGGGGTCCGCCTCCGGTGAGCGGACGGGCAAAAAAATCCAGGAGGAGGTCGGCCACGGGGTTTACCTGATTCGCTGGTCCGACGATCGGGCGTGTTGCCGTCCAGTGGCCGGCGAATTATGCTGACGAGATTGGTCCAGTGGCCGGCGACTTAGGCTGTCGTCCGATGGCCGTGAATCTGGCTATGGTGTTTGTGGGGGGTTGGTGGTCATGACTCGGGTTGTGTGTGTGTTTTTTAAAAAATCATTTCAGCGAATAGAATATAAAGAAAAATTTGGAGGGCAAAATTGTCTTTTTAGTGTTTTTTACGGGCGGCAAATAGTAATTACCCGGACAGCAAATAGTAACCCTCTTGGGACCCGAGTCTTGCATTCATGAGGTTTTATATTTAAATTACGACTATGGACATTTTATACATTATTTCCTTCGTTACTAATAGGATTGTGTGTATGGCTTAACATCTTTTCATGATTTTATCGTGGCCTGAAAAATTTATCTTCTATCAGTAAATAAAACTACTTAATAAAACTGTAAAACAATCCATGCGTGCATAATGGAGAATGAATTGAATGGTGAATTTCCGTTTAAATTCAATTGGGTGTAGGAATTCAAGAGATGGTATTGTTTTTGATCGACACAAAGTTAAAATAATCAAATAAATGAAATTTCCGGTCCCTAATTTCTTAAATAGTCTCGGTACGCTCTCTAAAATGTGCATTGTCAAATTCATGATTTAAAATAGGATAAAATTACAAGATTGATCACTGAAATTGCTAAAAAAGCATGACTCATGAAACCATTCCGGAGATCGTATCTGAAAAGTCAACAGTATGATATTTTATTACAAAATCGTGGTTTAACCGTAGTTCAACAGTTAATAGTTAGTACCATTAAATAAAGTCTACCAATTTAGCCTCCGATATTAGTATTTTGTTGTTGAACCGCCGGTACAGTACGATTTCATTCACCATGGAAAAAAATCAAAATACTTAAATATGAAAGCATGCATTTAAGAGAGCGGTATAACGAGAAATAGAGTCAAATCAAGCTATAAAAATAGCTCAAGAGCAGACAAAGTGGGCGTAGTTGCAAAATGGAGGTGATCGATTATGTCTGTAGGAAAGGGAAGGAAATGAAGAGAAATTGTACGGGATACAGCTTGTTGACACAGTGTTGATAGAAAGAAAGAAAGAAAGAAAGAAAGGTGAAAATTAAAAACACAGGCAGGCAGTACACAACCTCTCTCTCTCAACACAAACAGCAACGCGGACGGTTCTGTAGTTATTACTCTCTCTCTCTCTCTGTCTCAGCTGTGCCCTGCTCTGCTCGTCACGGCCACTTCCCCCAATTCCTCAGTAATCCAAATCAAGCTTATGCTGCTAATTTCCCCTTAATTACCCTCCATTCATATATTACTATTAACTAATTAAGTCCATGCTAATTAGCGGAGGCTTCTCTGGTCAGCACATACATGCAGTGATGGTCGTCAAGTGACGCAGCAGAGCGCCAGAGTTTGCGTTTCCAGTGCTGTTTATAAGTACCAAAAGTGTGATTGGCTGATTGCCCATCGCATGCTGTGATTCAGCACCAGAAAAAAAAAAACTGTTCTAAATCTGAAGGGAGACATTAATTAGGGGGATATAATTATACATACCATCATCATCATTTTTATGATTTCTACCGGCCGGCGCCATGGATCCCAAGAAATCAGGCAAACAAAAACCCAATAATAAGAAGATAATACAAAACCCGATTATGACTGTTAGGTAGGTAGCTAGCTCACGCAATTTCCCAGAGGGAATAGGTGTTAGGTAGAGGTGGAGGAGACGCACGGCACAGCCTAATTAATTAAGGAAACATGGGCGGGGCGGCGGTTCTATCGGTAAGAGCGGAGGAGGGCGCCGCAGAAAGTGCAGATGATGGCCCGCCATGTCTTCCAGTAGAAGGGCACGTAGCAGAACCTGGTGCTGGTCTTCATGTCGGCGATGCTGGCTCCGCCGCCGCACCTCGAGCAGGTCCCCGCCGCCGGCTTGCTGCTCTTCACCTTCCTCCTCTGATCCACCAGGAAACAGAACACCACCATCTTCGCTTCTCTGCAAATCCCTTTTTTTTTTGTCTGTGTGTCTATTGGGTTTGATCCGTTGGATTGAAGCAATTTCTCTGTTTCTGGTTTGCTTTTTTGCTGAGACTGAAATGGGGATGGGAAGAAAGAGCTGCTGCTTATTTATACCGAAGGAGGAAGAGGGGACTGGGGAGGTTTATGAAGGAAGGAAGATTTGGGTGAAGCGAGAGCCGTTGGATTTGGGAGAGCGTTGTGGGGGAGAATAGGCAGGAGCCGTCAGATTTCGGTTACTGAATACTTGTCTCTGTCACGCTCGTGTCGCTGGGAAGTAGTGGGTTGATTTGATTGGGCTCGTCTGAGTGGCCGCCGTACCGAGAGAGAGAGGGAGGCCATGGAAAAAGTTACGAATGCAATCTCAGCCGTACACGTAGATGGGGAGGAAAGGGGGAAAATTCCCAAAATAATGTTTTTTTTTTATATTTACCAACAATATGGTGGTTTTAAATATAATGACACAGATATTTTGTTTTTGTGGGCAAACATACGCGGGCTCGCAAGAGACTCAATTTTACTAGTTTGAAATGCGGATTCGAAGTGGACTTGGGCGGACTAGCGTGAGGCTGGTGCAGAAACGCATGGACTTAGCGGACCCGCATTAGTCTCATGCGGATTCGGTCTGTGTTTTATCCACTCCAGCATATATATTTTCTCTTCTCCTCCATTCCCCTCCTTTCAGTATCACCACCCAAAAACTTTTACGAAAACGAGAGGGAGGAGCTCTGCTGGTTGCTGCAAAGATGGCTAGGTAAGAGACATTTATTTTTGTAATTATATTATTAAAATGCTATTATAATTTTTTTAGTTAGTAATTAGTGCATTTGTTTGTTATGTAATGATTTTAGAAAATTTGAATTAATTGTTTGGTGGAAATCGGAGAAAGTAGACGACAATTTCGGCGTTCATTTCGTTGGTGGTAGAAGGTTTCAGTTGACAGTTCCATGTCGGGTGACATATCATCAATTTTGTGAGAATCTAATCCCGAGAATACGGCGTAGAGACGAAGCATTACAAGATAGTGATATGATCACAGGTTTCACTTACCGTCTTCCAGAATGGCAGAATGGTGTTCTATTTCATTATGCGATGCCTATTGTGGATGATGATGGTTTGAATGTGCTTTTCGATTTTATGGCACAAAATCATTATTGTTTGGGTGCTGAGGTACATGCTGAGATTAACCAGGCTGATCAGGGTGAAGATGATACATGGAGTGTGCCATCTGACCATGATTATGAGGACGACGAGGAGGAGGAGGAGGAGGAAGATGGGGAAGAAGAGCAGCCTAACTTTCCTCCATATTTTTACTTGCAGGCTAATGAAGAGGATGATTAATTATCATATGTTGATTCATATGGGATAATTCCAATGCCTATCGTTACTGGTTTTGAAGGGGAATTCTACAAAGGCCAGATATTTCACTCGAAACAAGCTGCACAGGTGGCGGTTAAACACCACGCACTACAACGCAACTTTTAGTATGGCGTGGTGGAGTCGTCACCTTCAATCTGGAAGGTTAGATGCTTGAAGCATAAGGATGAAAATTGTCCTTGGATGGTGCGGTTTGGATGTCGAAACGTTGGAAGCGAATGGACTGTGAGGAAGGCCGAGTTGGTGCATTCTTGTAGCAATACGACTCAACCAACAGATCATCGCCATCTTGATGTCGACGTTATATCTGAGTCCGTGAAACATTTGGTACGTGCCCAACCTAATCTGAGTGTTCTAACTGTGCAAGCCGAGATGAAAGATAAATTTAATATGTAAGTTACTTATAAGAAGGCTTGGTATGGGAAACAAAGAGCATTGGAGAAGTTGCATGGAAATTGGGAAGAATCCTATGATTATTTGCAAACATTCTTGCGGGTGGTAAAGAGAAAAATGTCAACATCAGTTATTGATTGGGTAAGAGTTCCTTCAGATCAACCAGGTCATTCGATCTTTCAGCGAGTATTCTGGGCTTATGGACCTTGTATAGATGGATTCAAGAATTGTCTAGGAGTCATGGTTGTTGATGGAACCTTTCTTACTGGAAAGTATAAAGGAGTGCTACTCATGGCGAGCTCATTTGATGGCCGGAAGAAGATTTTTCCAATAGCATTTGCCATTGTGGAGAGCGAGAATACTGAAAGTTGGCCATGGTTTATAAATCGTGTTCAAGGTTTGACCGATCGAAATGACGTATGCATCATCTCAGATAGACATGCGGGACTCTATGAAGCCATGGGTGACATCGGAAGAGGTTGGGAGTGGAGGTGGTGCATGCGACACTATGCAAGCAACTTGAAAAAGAAGACAAAAAGCAAAATTATGTATAACCAACTGGTTCGAGTCGGTAAGTCTCTTCATCGTTATTGATTGACACTCCAACATCTTATTAATTTTAATTTAATATTATCATGAATTTATCTAACTCTTGTGGTTATTTATTTTGTTAACCCGAGAAAAACGCTTGGAGAAGTTCGATCGTCAAGTTGAGAAATTTAAGAAGATGGCCACTGAAAGAAATATTTCTTGTGATAACTGGGTGGATCAAAATCAAATTCGTTGGAGCTTAGCACATGATAACTATAATGGTGGGACTCGATGGTCTATGATGACGACCAACATGGCAGAGAGCATCAATGGTGTTTTCAAAGGTATTCGTTCACTTCCTATAGCTTCTCTTGTGCAACATACTTATTGGCGATTATTGGAGAAATTCGACAAGATGAGGTTGGAGACAGAAGCACAAATCAGAAGTGGACCTTCACAGTACACCATCAAGTGCGAAGAGAAGATGAAGACATGGTCACAAAAGGCAGTGGGACATTCTGTGACGGGGGTTGATCGACGTCAGGGCATCTATGTAGTACAGACTCTTCCCAACAATTTCAACATGACGGGTTCGAACACACTCACAGTGCATTTCGATGACCACAATCGAGCGGGATTTTGCACTTGTGGGAAATTCCAAGGAAATAAAATTCATTGCTCTCATGCCATTGAAGCTTGCAACCGAATGGGGGCTAACCCGTATAGGTTTGTAAATGACATCTATAAGCTGGAAACAGTGTTGGCTTGTTATGGGACAAGTTTCACACCTCTTGGTGAACCTAAGGGGTGGAAGAAGCACAATGATTCTACTCTCCATCCTAACGTGCACATGATTAGGAAACCGGGGAGGCCACGAACAACAAGAATTCACAACGAGATGGATTGGCCAAGAGAGGAACTAGGTGGACATGATGCATAAACTTCTGGTGGAGGAGCAAGTGGAAGTGAGAGCCAACGAAAAGGAAGTGGTAGACGTGCGAGAGGTGGTAGAAGAGGAAGTAGTGGTAATAGACGTGGTATGTAATTGTTTGATGTTGTTATGGTTTGAACGATCGAGTGTGTAATTGTTTGATGTTTGTTATTGTTTTTCGACGTATATGTAATGGATTGATCGATGTTGTTATGGTTTGAACGATCAAGTGTGTAATTTTTTGATGTTTGTTATTGTTTTTCGACGTATATGTAATGGATTGATCGATGTTGTTATGGTTTGAACGATCGAGTGTGTAAATAGTCCACCATAATACATAATAATCATACATGACATGAAATAAATAGTCCACCATCATACATAATAATCCTACATGACATGAAATAAATAGTCCACCATCATAGATAATAATCCTACGTGACATGAAATAAATAGTTCACCATCATACATAATAATACTAACGACCTCCACCACGACGACCACCACCAAGAGGATCCACAAGATGACCGCCAGTACCACACAACGGTGCATGTCTGTCCCATACTGGCCTGCCCTGATCGTGTTGAGACTGATCATCATCATCCTGATCCTGTGTACCGAACAAACCATCTATCTGAGACTGGGGATGCTCGTCAGGTGCATCTATCTGAGACTGAGGATGCCACATATGGTCCAAAAAATGATCGTCCCCGTCTATGGTGTCTCTCCATCTATAGGGTGAGGATGGTCTCGTTGATGCTGCTCTGGGTGAAGATGTGTATCCGCCACCCATCATAACATGCTGCAGCGGTGTATGAAAGCTATCGAGTGGTGGCTGAAATCCCGAAGGCTGAAACTGCGTCTGGGAGGGTTGAGACTGGTGCTGTGAGGGCTGAAACTGCGTCTGAGTAGGCTGAAACTGGGTCTGAGTCTGAGAAGGCTGAAACCCATAAGAACACTCCCCATGAAACTGCGTCTGGGAGGGCTGAAACTGGTCCTGTGAGGGCTGAAATCCCGCAGAAGAAGAGGGCTGAAACTGCTGCATGATGTTTAAGGTAGTAGTCGGCCGGACAGGACGTGCTCGCTGACGATCTGAAATCCGGACTGGGTGAGGCACGTCGCGGTGCTCACGTCGCTGTCTACGCCTCCTGGGCTCCTCTGTGAGCTGTGGTCCTCGCACGTCCCACTCATGTCTCTCAGCAGTACGATCTGGCCATGGGTCAACGCTAGGATCAGATGACTGTGGCTGTACCAGTACCATCATATCATGATGTCGGCGAGAATCCAAACCTAGAGCAGCAACCCCGGCCACCATCATGTCGGCCAACTCCATCCTATCGTCTGTGGACAACTCTCCTTCCCGTAATCTCAGCTCATCGTACTGATAGACCGTAAATTACACATGTTTTTACCCCTGTTCTTACACCGTTTGAGATGTGATTTTTCGTGTTTTAGACCGATTTCACGCTAGGTTGTGCTTGTTTGTGATATTTCAGGTCCTGGCAAGTGAATGAAGGCTTAGGAGCGAGTCTGGGGTCGATTGGACGAAGAACGGACGAATGGCGAGGTTTTTGGGGAGCTGCACGGGCAGACCAGGGAGGCTGCACGGCCGTGCACGTGAGCAATATGGCCGTGCGCCTTATGCCGAGGACACGCACGGGCAACCCCTGAAGCTCGCACGGCCGTGCACCCTGGCCGTGCGAGAGGGCTGAAGTTCGACTAAATGACACGCTGCGTTTTGAGTTGCACGGCCAGAATGGTGATATGCACGGCCGTGCACCCTGGCCGTGCGAGTCGGGAAATCTGGTTTTAAGCCAAATTCCGAAACAAAGAAGGGGAGAGCTGGGTTTTTGGATCCCAAACACCCAAGGGACGAACCAAAGAGAGAGAGGGCGATTTGAGGGCATTCTTGGAGTAGAGAAGGAGGATTTCTTTGCCTTGGAAGCTTGAGGAACAAGCCCGGACTTGAAGACTGATCATCTGAAGATTCTTACTGCAGTCTCTCTCTTCTCTATGGAGTAACTTCCCTTCACTTAGGTTTTGAGGAACCCTAGCTATGTTTGTTTGATTGGATGATTGTATGAGTACTCTGACTTGATAATCTTGAGTTCATATTCAATCTATGCATGTTTTCATGATTCAATTCTGCTTTAGTCGAGATTATTGATTCTGCTTTGATCCTATGAGAGGGAATACCTGATTAGGTCAATAGAGCACCATAGATTGATAGTAGTGGATCGATTGCTTTAGTCGAGGGTTGATTCACTGCTTTGTATCGATTGAGAACCCCTTTCGATAGAGGGAGTCTAGTTCAGAACGCCTTGATCAGTTGTTCTAGAGAAGGATACGTCCCTCTAGGCAATTGACTCAAGAGGGCCTTGTTCCTTTAGTCGAGACTCAAGGTCTAGTCAAGGATTCTCCGCATTGTGAATGAAAGTGAAACAGGTTAGAGATCATCAATCATTAATCTGGCTAGTGGCTAGGGGGAATCATACCTAAGTGAGTTTCCAACCTGTAATTAGATTAACTTTAACTGTAGTTTGCTAGAGTAGTTTTAGTTCTTTCATCTTAATCTGGTTTGCTAAATAATAAACTGAAGTTGAGTAATAGTAACTCTAGAGACCCGTGGATTCGATATTTATCACTTGAGCCACTATACTGCAGTCCCTTCCATTGGTTACACTTGGCCTTTGTTAGGAGTTGTGTTTTAGAGCATCACGTACTCAAAGGTATCATACTGCAAATTTATTTAATATATCAAATATTCCACACAACTAAGAATTTCAATCCACTAAAATTTTATTTTGAAATAATAAATTACTAACCCCTGCGTTAAGTCCTGCTGCTCTCCGTGTGACTGAACGTCTAGTAACATCTCGATACCACTCGAGATGCTCCGAGTGGTAGGCTAGAGTCTCCTGAGTATATGGCCTAGTCGCTATATACTCATGTCGATGACTCCACAAATCAATCGACTCTCTGGAGGCGTGCATCAACCGCTGCCCTCGCGATGGCCCACGAGTTGTCTTGCGAAGAAACCACCTAATCTCAGCCTCAGGATCTGGATGATGAGGCTCGTTCTGCATCATGTCAAACTGTCGGAGTACCCGATCTGGATGGTGCCACATCACTACTAAAAAGCAGATCAGTGGAACCACTGCTCGGAAGGTATCTGACTGGGGAACGGAACCCCTAAACTGCAGGTCTCTCTCCCAGTAAGGCAGCCACTACACAGAAAGGTGGGCACATTATTACAACTTAGTCTAAAACAAACTAATGTGAACCACAAACTATTCTTGTATGAAATGTTATTACTAACCACGATCGTCTCCAGCTCGTCAAAAAACAACTTATAACTGAAGAGCTGGTCACCATGCTGACGGGTCATGGCCGGAAGCCATCGAGCACCATGCGGAGATGCGTCCGGTGTAATAGGCTCATCCTTCACTGTATGTCGTGGTGCTATCAATGGGAATCGCTCCCACGCCCAGAGCTGCAGCAAGGCGACCCAACCACCAAGGTCACCTCCGGTGGAAGAGGACTGCGTCATATGCAGAACCGACCTACCTATCTCACAGTATAGGTAGACTAGAACAGCTGCTCCCCAAGCGTATCCTCCCACGGTTTGCCAATTCTCCAACAGAAGTAGATAATGCAGGTGAACTGTAGCTCCAGTCCGATCGGGGAACAACATAAACCCAATCAAAGATAGGGCATACGCTCGTGCAAACTGCCCTGTAATCTCTGCTGATGCATTTGGCGGCAGATTGTTGAAATGCTCCCTAAGCCAACTAAGCTTAACGACACCCCCGCTAAGATCATTAGGAGCATGTCCTAACATCCTGGTACACGTCTCCGACCACTCACGATCTGGTACGTCTACTATGACGTCCTCACCGTCGATCGGTAAACCGCTCAGTGTGGCAACGTCCTCAAGAGTGATCGTAACCTCACCGACCGGCATGTGAAATGTCGATTTCTCAGGACGCCAACGCTCTACTAGAGAGGTGATCAAAGATGCATCTATACAACCAGTCATAGGGACCAACTGCTGCATGCTAAACAAACCGGCATCCTGGAGATACGACTCATAACGTGGATGGTACGTGACCAATTTGGTCGTAACTCGAGTCTAGTAAACACGATCACCAGCCTATAGTGTACAAAACTTATATTAATTCAATTTCATGGCGTAATTCTATTTTCAGAACATATTGTAATATCTATCTAATTTACTAAAAATATATATAATGAAAACTATTACTAATTTCACATGCAATTATAATATTTCAATTTACCTAGTAAAATCAATCTAATTTAGTAAAACATATCTAATCAAACTAATACTAATTTCACAAAATTCTAATCTAACTAGCTAATGAACTTTAATGAAATAAAATACATAAAATACTTACCTCGTTAATCCAAACTGAGTCGGCACGATGTTGACCATGTGCCCAAAGGAGTACTGAATCGACCGGAGCTGTATCTATCGTCGCAGGTGATCGTCTCGTGGAATGCCTGTCAAGAATCCTAGGAACTGCAAAAAAAAAAAAAAAACAGAAAAGAAAAACCCGCCGGCAGCGAGTTTCCGGTGGCCGGCGACGACATTCTGGTGGCCGGCGGCGACTTCCCGATGGTCGGCGGCGAATTTACAGTGGAAGAATTGCTCACCTCGGTACCGATCGCGTGCTTGTTGTCCTCTTCCAAGGCCTCTTCCTCCGGCGGCCGCCTGTTCTTCATCGGAGTCCGACATCAAAACCAGAAAAACCCAGATCTGGTTTTGTTCAGCCGCTCTTCACTCCTGCGCTTCCGCGTGACTCTCGGTCGTCTCCGCACGAGTCCGGGGCGAGACCGCGGTGGATTGCTCGGTTTTGTGGCGGTCGATGATGGGGGTTGGGCGATGGTGGGTTTCTGGCGAGAGGACGGCGAGAGAAGGGGGTGCGTCGCTGCGGAAGGGGCGGGGTGGAGAAGAAGATAAGACTCGGGGTTTCTTTTATGCGAACCCGCGTGAGTCTGGCCCGTTTCTTCCTCTCTTATGCGAACTCGTATGAGTCTGCTGCGGGTCCGCCCAAGTTCATTTCGGATCCGCATTTCAAACTACTAAAATTGAGACTCATGCGAGCCCGCGTCTGTTTGCCCACGAAAACACAATATCTGTGTCATTATATTTAATACCACCATATTGGTGGTAAATAAAAAAAAAACATTATTTTGGGAATTAACCCGAGGAAAGGCGGATTGATTTTTTTTTTTTTTTATTTCTTTAGCTATTCGGTTGGCTGATAAAAAGCTGAATCGGAAGGATATGGTCTTTCTTATGGGATTCGAATTCGAAGCTATGGAAATTAGTATCTGGATTTGATTGTATTCCCTAAACTGATGAGATGATTTGTTTGGCAGATGATTTACGAAATGCTACATGTAGTAATGTTCCTTACACACTAATTTCGTGGCTCTGTCCAGGTTGTATTTTTTTTAAAGGGAAGAAAGCCTAACACACTAATTTCCTGGTTCTCCATTAGCTTAGGGTTTTTGGGGGGAAGGGTTAGATGCTTAGATTGATTTACATTGTTTGATAGTATCGGTTTTTGATAATGTTTGTGTGTTTGTGGGATAACGATCTGGATTATCCTACGAAGCTCAGTATCCTCTGTGGCTGTGGGCGCACGGTTGTGAAAGATTTATTTTAAAAATAAAAATTAATGGTACAAATTCAATTTGTATCTACATTTATTATGTACAAATTTATTTATACTGCAAATTGAGCGGGTACCTTAATGTTATGGTACAATTTAAATTGTGTCTATGTATTTTTAGACAAATTCCTTCATAGCATACACTGAGCTTGTACCTTTAACGTTATAATACAAATTTAACTTGTACATAGAATTACCGGTGCTTATGACTTGTGAACATTGTAATATTCATAGGTTTGAAGTTAATGGCTTTAGATTTCTTTTCAAGATATATATCGTGTACAGTATATCCTCTTTTTCTTTCTCGAGGGATGTGAGTACTTTTTTTTAATAATGGGATGTGAGTAATCTCTTGGAAAAAACCATTTCGATCCAAATTTAATAAAAATAATTCTCAAAACCTTAAAGAAATTTTATGCATTATTAAATTTTCAGATTTCAACTGCAATCCTATCAACATAAAATTTCCGCTTAAAGAGATTATAAAGTGAATCCGAGATAAATAAAAGTTACCCTGGACCTTGATTATGAAATGTTATCTTGATTTTATGAAAAAATTGAGAATTTTATCAGTCAAAATTATGTCATGGTCCATGTTGAATATGCAAAATTGTGCCATTACATTTAATTTTTCTTGTATTTATTGGGGGGAATTAAAAACAATAGCAGCGTTTGCTGACCTTTTAAACGTGAAAGATAAACCTTGTATATCTATCTCTGAATCTCTCTATCAACATAACTTGGTTTGAAAGACACTGTTAATAGCAATGAGCCTGAAACGGACGTAATATATATCATGTCAGTTCAAAGGTCGGTCGGGGGAAAAAAAGGAGCGACTGACTGGGCTATACGAATTTAATGAGAATGGTTAGTTGGCGGGAAGGAGAACAGATGGCCGGGCCAACTTGGGCCACTGGCAGTTGGGAGTTCGGCGTTGGATTTGTGCCTGCTACTGCCGAACCCTTCTTCTAGACGACTTCATTTAACACAAACACAAACACAACCACATCTATTCCTTCGCTCCCAAGATTGCTCATTGAGCTGCTCTTGGTTTTAGTCCCTTCAGCTACCACACGCTCTCGAGGACGTCCTAGCGAGCGTGATTCACAAACATTGGTGAAGCAAATCCGTCAGTGGTAAGGAGACACTTTCCACCATACAATTCGTTAGGTGGCTACTACGGGGACTACTGTCTGCTACTAATGTTGCCTCTTCCATGGTTTCTGTTCTTCCTTCTTTCATGAAAATGAACCGACCACTTGCCATAGCTCTGCTCGGCTACCTATTGTGCCGACAATTGGCTGCTGTCCTTTTTAAGCACACTAATGAAAACACACGATATTAAGACCGGCCATAATATACACCCACAGCTTTTCAAAAGCATCACCAGGTTCAATATGGTTATTCTGCTAACAGTGTAAGCTGTTAGTATATACTAACACGGTCGGATTTGAGGCCACGTAGGCGAGCCGCGATTGGACGGTGGAGGGGGAGAAGAGCAGCTTGTGGCTCGGCTGAACCAAGCCTCTTCCTTTTTTTTTTGTTACAATTCAAAAAAACCCAAACTTTTTCATTTATGTTTAATTTTCTTTTCTCTCTCCATCATTTCATTTTCCTTTCTCTCTCACTCTCCAAAACTGACTGCTCTCTTCTGTTCTTCTTCTTCTTCCTCTCTCTCTCCCAAATAATTCAAAATACCTCTCCACAACGACGGGTGTGAGAAATACGACGCCGGCGACGAGGGCTACGGGCAGGAAGAAGACGGCGGTCCTTGGCAACGCCGGTAGCGGTGCTTGAAGGAAGAAGAAGTCGGCCGAGCAAGAAGGAAGACATCGACGCCAGTAGCGCGAGGAAGACGACTACACAAGCTGCGAAGAGAAGAAAGTTTTTGAGGTAAGCATCTTCCTTTCTCCTAATTCATTGACGGTGAAGGCGGATCTTTGAGGTAGGTGTTTTGGATCTGAGATTCATTGTTAGGGATCTGGGATTCTTGTCGGGGGATTTGAGATTCGATTTGGGGGATCTGGGATTCTTTTGATTTGGGAGATTTTGATTTCTTTCGATTTGGGGGATCTGTGATTTTTTGTGGCTGGATTACATATATTTGATTTAGGGTTTCATAGATTCGACTGGATCTGAGTTTTTTTTTTTTTTTGCTTCGTTTTTTGGATCTGAGATTCATTGTTAGGGATCTGGGATTCTTGTCGGGGGGGTTGAGATTCGATTTGGGGGATCTGGGATTCATTTGATTTGGGGGATTTGGATTTCTTTCGATATGGGGGATCTGGGATTTTCTGTGGCTGGATTACATATATTTGATTTAGTGTTTCATAGATTCGACTGGATCTGAGTTTTTTTTTTTTTTGCTTCGTTTTTTGGATCTGAGATTCATTGTTAGGGATCTGGGATTCTTGTCGGGGGATTTGAGATTCGATTTGGGGGATCTGGGATTCTTTTGATTTGGGGGATTTGGATTTCTTTCGATATGGGGGATCTGGGATTTTCTGTGGCTTGATTACATATATTTGATTTAGGGTTTCATAGATTCGACTGGATCTGAGGTTTTTTTTTGTTTGCTTCGTTTTTTGGATCTGAGATTCATTGTTAGGGATTTGGGATTCTTGTCGGGGGATTTGAGATTCGATTTGGGGGATCTGGGATTCTTTTGATTTGGGGGATTTGGATTTCTTTCGATTTGGGGGATCTGAGTTTTTTTGTGGCTGGGATTTCTTTCGATTTGGATTTCTTTTGATTTGGGGGATTCGTTTTTTTATGTCGATATTGTTTGGGGTTTTTGGATTTTGCTCGTTAATTTGATATTTTTTTACCTGGAAAATTGTTTAGCTGGCATGGGATACCATTTAGTTTAATGTGGATATTGTTTGGTGGTTGATTGTCCGGATATTGGTTATGTGATGCATAGATATTTGTATGCTAGGTATGGATATTTTTATGCCTTGTATGGATATTAGTTCAATGATATTAGCTATTTTCAGGAATTGTGCAAGATGGCAAAATCCAAAAGGTGTTCGATGCCAGCTCCTCCAAGAGAAGGGAAGGCGGAGACACATCACTGGCTCAATCCAGACGCATCATGCTGGGAAAACAAAGATTTTGACAATCTTGACCTAAATCAGGTACATAGATGTTGTCTTTGCTTCTTAAGTGACATGGTTTCATATAGTAAACTAAATATTTTACAACATATGTAGCTTGCGGCAATGGACTCAATGGTTGAAAGCATGATCCAAATGTGGAGGGCTCGGGACGACGCGCTCAAAAAAATTATCAAGCGTCAGCAAGACAAAAGTTGAACTATTGCTTTCTCATTTCTTATATGGTTGTGCTTTTTCGGATTTGAAATTCTTGGATTGCCAAGTTGTAATGACATTAAATACTAGTTTTATCGCGATTTGTCTATCAAACGACTCTTTTTATTAAGAATGTCGAGTTTTTTATTCTAGAATATTATTTGCTCGTCGAAAACACATCTCCACAAAACAAATATCCAAACCACTCAAACTAATATCCGACTGTCGCACTAACATCCGTTCTCAATTACAAATATCCATACTACCCAGACTAATATCTCACCGTCTCATACTAATATCTAATCATCCCGAAATTAATATTCTCACTATCACAGACTAATATGTGACCACATATCCAGCCATAGTCTCTTAATTAGCAATTATCATAGGTTGAAAAAGACCTTACTTCCAAATTTTCATCAAAAAATATATATATATATATATACACTATTTCTTCATACTTGAAAACCAATGTAGATAACCATCCATGCAGAACAAAAATTCAAACCACCCAGACTAATATCCGAGTGTCGCAGACTAATATCCACTCACCATCACAAATATCTACACCACCCAGACTAGTATCCCTTCGTCTCAGACTATTATCCAGTCATACCATAATAATTATCCTCACCATCATAGACAAATATCCACCACACACTGACTAATATCTTACCCCCGCAAACTAATATCCGACTACTCAGACAAATATCCACACATCACAAACTAATATCCTCCTATCCATAATAATATCCTATCACTGGAGACAAATATCGTCGAGATTATGTTTTGGTTTCAAGAAGAGTCGCACTTGTGCATTGCACGACTCACTGGCTTGCGTTGTCAACATTCGCGCTGTGAATTGATCTCTCAGATATAAGGAACACCATTGATGACAAAATTTCTTCAAATATTGCATCCATTGGTGACCATCGACAGTTTCACTACCGGGAAAACAATCAGAAACCATGCTGCTCCATGCCTCATCAAACGTCTCAGACAAATATCTAGTGACACCTAAATAATATTGTAAATATAACAGAATAATATCTATAACACACTGACTAACATCCACCACAAACTAAATAGTATCCAGTATGTACTAACTAATATCCGCCACACTGACTAATATCTTATAGTTGTACACTAATTCAAATAGTTACCAAAAGTGCTAGATGCTTAAATAAACGTTGGACAACATCTTAATAGTTACCAAAAGTGCCCCATTAGAATATACAAACGTCCAAGAAAATTTCCGAAAACATGAACTAATATCACTTCAAACCAAAGCTAGACCCTAAACTCTTAACCATCTTCCCAACACAAACCCTAAACCATAAAAACTATTGTTATTTAATGGACAGTTACCAAAAGTGTCTCATTAGAATATCCAAACTTCCCAGAAAAATATATGAAAATATGAACTAATGAACCATGAACCCTAAAACTAAAATGAATATCCACACTACCCAGAAGAATATCCACACCACCCAGTCTAATATCCCACCGTCTTAGAAAAATATCATGTGATCCCAAAATTAAGATTATCCATATATAACAGACTAATATCCATCACACACAGACTAATATCTTATTGTTTTACACTAATCCGAATAGTTACAAAAAGTGCTAGATGCTTAAATAAACAAAGGATCACATCAGAATAATTACCAAAAGTGCCCCATTAGAATATCCAAACGTCCCAAAAAAATAACCGAAAACATGAACTAATGAACCCTAAACCCTAAAACTAAAAAGAATATCCACACTACCCAGACAAATATCCACACAACCCAGTCTAATATCCTTCTGTCTCAGAAGAATATCATGTGATCCCAAAATGGATATTATCACTATGAGATAATAATATCCATCACATACTGACTAATATATGATAGTTGTAGACTAATCCGAATAGTTACCAAAAGTGCTAGATGCTTAAATAAACAAATGATCACATCGAAATCGTTACCAAAAGTGCCCATTAGAATATCCAAACTTCCTAGACAAATATAAAAAAGCATGAACTAATATCAATTCAACCAAAAGATAATATCCGAACCATGTAAACTAATATCCATTCATTGCAAACGACACAAGACTAATAATTAAACCTTTAACCCTAAAAAAAATAATAAATCATAAACCCTAACACTAACACCCTAATCAATTTACCAAAAAAGCCCTATTAAAATATCCAAAAGTCCTAGAAAATTTTCGAAAATACGAACTAAATATCAATTCAAACCTAAGCTAGACCCTAAACCCTTAACATTAAACCGTAACACAAACCCTAAATCATAAAACTATTATTATTTAATGGGCCCTCGGCCCATGGGCCCTCGGCGGGCAGCCCTAACTAAGGTTGCAAGCCTTATGTGTTAGGACTTGCTAGTGTGTTTAATTTCCTAGTGTGTTTAATTTGATGTAAGAAACAATATTCCAATCCTTCACAAATTGAAAACCCGAACCATAAACCCTAAAACTTAAACTCTAAATTGGTGTAATCAGTTTCGGTTGGTTGGGTTATTTTGGGGTTTGGTAAATATTAGTTTAATGATGGATATTGGTTTGCGAAGGAAGAATATTAGTTCATTTCAACTAGGGATGGCAATGAGGCGGGTTTGGGGCGGGTTTGCTTAAACCATCCCCATACCCATCTTCAAATACCCAAACCCATACCCGCCCCATACCCATGCGGGGGAATGTTTTGCAAACCCATCCCCATACCCGTGGGTTTCGGGTACCCATGGGTAATACCCATACCCGTACATCCAACATTATTATACCTAAAACTTACAAGAAAAGTTCTAATTATAATTCTAAACGAACATATTATATCATGAAGTCAATAAAACACGGTCATTTTTTTAATATGATTCAAAGATTATGATCCTAAAATATCCATTAATACATAATATAGAGTATAATATTTTTCAAATTATTATGTTCTAACTCGATACATCTACTAAATAATAATTAACTAACATAATCTTGTTGACAAGAGGGAAAGTGAAAGAGTGAAATGAGAATTGAGAGAAATGAATTAGATTTTGATTAAGGCGGTCAATCGATTGCATTTCTACTATTTATTTTCTCAAGTTATCCTCATCATCATTGATAGATTATAATTTGATGCACATATTTTTTATATATGAAGAAATTATCTTGGTGGGGCGGGTATGGGGCGGGGGAGGCTAAAACCATACCCGCCCCATACCCATCAAACTTTTTGCGGGTTTTACCCATACCCGCCCCATACCCGGTCAAAGCGGGGATTCCCCGCGTTGAATGGGTCGGGGGCGGTCGGATACCCGCGGCCATGGGTTTGATTGCCATCCCTAATTTCAACAATGATGCAAAGTAATATCAACACAATAGAAAATAATATCGACTGAAAACAAATAAATATCCACACAAACAAACATACATAAATATCAGAGGGGCCCCATCAATTTTCGTTCTCTTTCCACTCATATCCATTCTCCCGCCCAAACTCAAGCCGGGCCCACCAGCCCACCACGCCACCGCCGCCACATGCTGGGCCGGGTTTTACACGTTGGCCCACCTACAGCTCACTTAAGTGAGCCACCACCAAGCCGCCTCTCCCCTCCGTTGGATGAAACATGGGCCGACGTGGCCCAAAATCCTGCCCTGTTAGTATCTGCTAACACTTTGAGCAGTTAGCAGATTAACTTCTGCGCACCAGGTTACAGACAGCAGTAAAAAAGTACAAAAAAGCAACTGGGTGGTGGATCTAATTCCCCACTTTACAGCTTTCTCTACCGTAATCGAAAGATCAGTTCTTTAATCTGTATACAGCTACAGAAGAACAGAAGCATTAGCAGGGGAAAATGAGAGAGGTCTATCCGCAGAATCACCCAACTACTGATTGCTATGTATTGTAGTCGGAAGCAGCCTTGTTGACATGTACGGGAAATGTGGGCTGCTCGATGAAGCTCAAAGCGTCTTCGATAAAATCAGCGTAAAGAACTCTGTTCCTGGTCAGCATTGCTCGGTGGATACTGTCAAACCAGCAATCTGAAATCCATCATCGGAATATATAGAGAGATGGGTCAGAATGATCTTTTACAGCTTTGGTACCATGCTTTGAGCTTGTGCTGGCTTGGCAGCCATCAGGCAATGTAAAGAAGTTCATTGCCAGTAAAAGCAACGAACTTCTTTACATTGCCTGATGGCTGCCAAGTCAGCACAAGCTCCAAAAAAAAGTTCATTGCCAGTATGTGAGGAGAGGTGGGTGGGGCAATGTCATTGTGGAATCGGCTTTAGTCGACCTCTATGCAAATTGTGGTTGTGGATTTTGCTTACAGGGTGTTTGAACAAATGCCAGTGGAACACGATGATTAGCAGGTTTGCACAGAATGGAAGCGCCAATAACGCTCTTGCAGTGTTTGATGACATGGTCTAGCAGGATGTGAAGCCAGATTATATTACCTTCATAGGAGTTCTTTTCGTGTGTAGTCATTCTGGTTTCGTTGATCTAGGGAGGAAGCATTTTGCATCTATGATCCATGAATATGGTATCAGACCCGGCACCGAGCAGTACAATTGCAACAATACACAATCTATACTGACTTTAACATGACCGCCAAATTGGGAGAAGAAAGAACAAGAGTATGTGCTCTTACAAATTAAACCTGAAATCCTTGGCAAATGCTGCCTATACAATATACACCTTGATGCCTTCATAACGGTATGGAGAACTAAGTCACATCATGTTCAATCTTCGATATCTGAATCTGAAGTAGTATGTTGAGAATGACTCTCAGAATCCGAGAATTCCTGTGAATCAAAACCAAACCTCATATCCTGATCAACCATCTCAGCAAGATCATCCCTATCAGCAATTCTATAGGCATCTACCAAAGCCTTGAACATAGACTCAGAACGTTCGATCTCTCCATACTTCAGCTGGGTATAAACCCTCTTCAAACCTTCCACCATACCTGCTTTTCCATAACAGTGGACCAAATTGATATGCGTTACAATATCCGGTTCAACCCCATCATCTTGCATTCTCATGAACATGTTCAAAGCCTTGTCGATTTTCCCAGACAATCCATACACATAAATTGCAACATTATAAGCAAATCGATCCAGAACCACTTTGGCTGCTTTAGTGAACCCCTCACAGGACTCCAGTGCTAAACTGTGTAAACCCACCATGGAGAAAACAGATGCTATTATACTTTGAGCTGCATAGGGTTTTGCATCTAGATAACTCGATTCGAGCTCTTTAACAGCTTCAGATGCTACCCCTCCTTTTTTCAAGATGGTGAATAGTAAGCTGAACGTCCAGCCATCAGGTGAGAGCTTCTTCTCAATCATCTCATGCAACAGCTCCCCACAAGCTCGAAGCTGGCCATTGGTCGAGTAACAAAGCATCGCTTTGTTGTAGGAAATGCAGTCGCTTAGTAAACCCGACTGTTTCATCTCATCAGCAACATCAATAGCTTTATCTAGCATCCCCATGCTCTTGTATAAATACATCATGGTTCCGTATGATATCTCATCAGCCAAACCTTTCTCTTTCAACCCGTTAAAAACCATCTCGGCTTCTGAAACCATCCCAAATTCTGCATATAGACTGATCATGCTATTTGATGCAACTGAATCTGGACCACCCTCCAAAAGTTTAGTCTTTTCATAAATTTGTTTAGCACCATCAAAGCATCCCAGCTTACTATATACCTTAAGAAGGGATGTTAATACAATCTGATTTGGTGAAACCCCGGTTTCTTCCATTACGCTAAAGTATCTTAGAGCCTCTTCGACATTACCACTTTCTGCAAAACCATCAATTAGAGCCCCATACACAACTACATTAGGTTTTACCCCTGCCTCTAACATTTCCTGGTACGTACTGACTGCATCAGATAGCTGCCGTAGGCGGACATAGCATGCAATAACCGAAGAAAATGTTGAACATTGTGGTTTAAAACCCGCTCCTTTCATCTCAGCTAACAGGCTCCTTGCTTTCTCAACCAAATCACCTCCTGATAACATTTGGACTACGGAATTGTATGTGCATTCATCAGGCCAAGTACCGTGATTCCTCATGGTCCTAAATAGAGAAAGTGCTTTATCATAAAGCTTTGCCTTACCGTAAGCTTTCACCATAACGTTATATTCCAACACATCTTTCTTCAAGCGTGCACCATCTCTCTTCCCGTGAAATATAGCCTCAGCTTCAGCCCAAAGCCCCTTCTCTGCATAGACATTCATAATTGCTGCTCGTGTCTTTGCTGACAATGAACCATTGGCTAGACACTTTTCTAAAAAGATCTTTGCCCTATCACGTAACCCTTCATCAATATACATCCGGATAATACCTGGCATTGAATGTTGATCAACACTTCGAGAAGTCTTCTCCATTTCTTCGATTATATTCTCCATCTCTCCGACCATGTGCCTCTCACATAACATAAGTAGAAGAGTTCGATATGTTACACTATCAGGGGAAAGACTAACCTCCCTAATCTTTCTATAAGAATTTATGGCTGCATCCACGTTTCCTGCTTCTGCATGGAGAGATATGAAGATGTTGTAAGTTGTGGTATCGGGAGGAATCCTTCTTTCCTCCATTTTCTTAAGCAAGGACTCTGCTTCTGATAAGTGTCCTAGGGTTCCACAGGTAAAGATCATTGTATTGAAAGTTATAGTATCCATTGCCACACCCGACTTCAACATTTCCGCAAAAGTATCAGCTGCATCCTTCAAACGACCAGACTTCCCATAAAGATCGATCAATGTATTGTAAGTGGATGTCAATCGTGGCTTCCGACCAACAGTATTCATTTCATCTGATGCAACTTCAACCCCTGGAGTAGGAACTCTCCCGCCTGTCTTGAAAAGCTCAGTGGATAAAAAGTACTTCAAACTAACTGGTGCAGATGAAGACACGTCATCGAAATCAACTGCAGAATCGAATTTAAGATCATCCAAATCAACATGTCCAACGCACCATTGTCTGTAAAACCTATCTGCCCGATCGAACTCCCCTGCATCCTTCAAAACCTTGATAACCGAATTCATCGTTACTTCATCAGGGAAAAGCCCTCTATGTTTCATATGCTTAATCCACAAAAGCGATTCTTGAACAAGACCAGCTTTCCCATACACATCAACCAGCATCCCGTATGTGTTGTTAGTTGGGAAAACACCACTCTTTGCCATCTCAACCCAGCAAAGCCTTAAGTCGTCCCATTTCTGAGCTCTACCCAAAGCCCTAAGCACAATATTATAGTGAATAGCATTTGGTACGTAATCTTTCTGGGATTTAAAGAATTCAAAAACTATAACTACTTTCTCCCAACCCCTCTGTTCTTTGAGAATCACAGTCTGTTCTTTGGCGCTCAAATTCTCACAACTGCCATGAAGGGTCTTGTCAATATCCTCAGCAGACTCCAGAGAACGCAAAATGGAAGGGATAACGCCTCCGTATTTCCTTTTCTTACCACGAAAAGAGGAACTTCTGGAGGGCAGAGTTAGAGAATTCGACTGACAACGAAGCTTAAACCCACAAGATATTTTAGCTGGCTCGCTGCTGTAGCACGAGGGGTTCAAGAAACTATATCTTCTTGAAGGAAGTTGGGGGCCGCACTGTGGTGAAGAAATTGAAGAAGGATACCGTTGGGTGCGGGGGAGTTGATTAAACCCTAGAGAAACCCTACCCTGGGAAGAAGGAGAATGAAGAGGGCGGAACTTACTTTGAGCGAAGATGCGAGCTTGGAAGCTTTCATGGCTTATTTCCTTGGAACTGTGACAGTGGCTGTAACTGGTAGTGCAAGTGTGAATCATTTTCTCCTTCTTCAGCGACTTTACGGGTTTTCTGATTTCGTACAGAGGAGGAGAAATGGTGGGTTTGGTTTTGCTGGGCGCTTGTTGCTTGTTTCCAGCAAAGGTTTCGATATTTTGCTGCGAGGGAGCCTCCACTCAGTCCAGACTCCAAGTGCTAATTTGTCTGTTTATTTGGTTTCTATTAACGAGTGAACAAAACCTACGGAATTCTAATCCACCCTTGCCATTGTGTATTTGGTCACTTTCTCCAATTCAAAGTTCAAATCCAATCCAGCAGATGCAGATCTACTCGTAAGAAAATCGGTAAAACTTTAATTAGGTTTTGAAAGAGAAAATTCAAATCCAAGAGGCCGATTGGCAAATGGAAGATCATGTGTTCTATATCCTCCTTTGTCATTGGACCTTGCTTAGCACGTTCAGTCAGCTGTCAACGATTCGGTTGAGGGTCGACGGGCCAGGGTTTGACCGATATCCGTAAATATATTAGTGTTTATGGGTTCACAAATTATTCGAACACTAACATTCTAATGAATCTACTAAGTTATTGTATTGATTTTCGTATATATTGGGCACTAACAATCATATAATGGAATTTAGGATTAAACTCTAAGAAAATTTATTTCTCATAAAACAATCATCATGAAGAAGTCTCTATTTATACAATTTCCCGCGTCGTTACAAGATCCTCTATGATAGATAATTTTCACGCTGGGTGCGAGTTCTCGATATGAGTATTGTCCAAATCAAAATCAAAATCCAACCGTAAGTTTTAAATTCAAAAAAATATTTTGATTGCTTGGAAGGTGATCATTATTCCATCCAAATGTTTAGTTGAAAAGTGTTAGCAACAACATTATAAAAAGTTTAGGAGTAGCTCTCTCGTTTGTTTCATGGATTTAAAAATTAGGGTTTTGTGATTTAAAAATCCAAAAATCTATCAAAGATTTGAAATATTATGGATTTGAAACAATCATTTGTTTGTTGAGATGTTTCGATCATGGATTTAAGGATTTGGGATTTAGAGGTTAAAGTCCATAATTACCATACTATAATTTACTATTTGTTTGTCATATTTATGATATGTACTCAAACAATGAGAATACATACTAAAAGGCATAATGTTGTCACAAGGACAATAATAGTTACCAATTCCTTGTCTTCCATTTCAAAAGTAACATATAACAACATATATTAGAATCGGAAGAACAAAGAATTCACGTTCGATGAAAAGGTCAAAGGAAACTACAACAAAGAAAAAGGCATATAAATTTTAACTCATGTTTGCACATTAATTGAATAGTTATATTATTACTAATTAATTGATTAATTATAATGTAAAATAGGTAAAGTTGAGGTCAATCTTGGAATATTAAAATTTTACGAGGGCATATGGGTAAAACCCCATTATGGATTTGTGGCATGTTCCAAATCCCACATCAATATTACGGATTTACAAATCTGTGGGATCCACGAATTTGGACCCTTGAAATCTATGAGTCCCACAGATTTGGTCCTTATAAAAACTGCAAACAAACGATGAATTTCCCTTAAATCCTTTATGAATTTTATTTTGGTACCAAATTAATCATCTAAATCCACGAATCAAATGACCCTCAATCTCATAAATTGTTGTCTAACCTTTCATACTCGTTTATTCTAATTCAATACCTTGGTGAATGTGTGATAAAACTATGGCTGACAACTTGTTCGGGTGGAGATAATCATATATAAATCATTTTCGAATCGTGATCTTACAATAACGATCATTCTAGTAGACTAACATTAATGAAAATATGATATAACATACACAAATTAACCAACCTGTTTGAGCTGCGATACCAGGACCCCGAACTCCTCCGCTCTTGCTCCTTGCATACTCTTTCTTCGTTGTCCCACCTACACACAAGGCACAACAGAGGGGGGCACCCGGGCCCGTCAATCCCGCGACGCTCAAATTAGTTCGAGTTCTAGAGAGAGAAGTGCATTACCCTAGTGTTTGTGAGAGAATCCGACCCACTTAAATGTCACCTACCACTTACTATTTATACTTACCCAGCTCTTGATCGGGCTTCTTCAAACTAGCTCCATGTCAGCATCACATTAAATGCTTTCTACTTTTGTCGACTGGGCGCCCCGACCAATGTGTCAGTCTTCCGACACATAATATGCACCCGACCAGGGGGACCGCAGACAATCCATAGTTTTTTGGACTCTTCAAAGTTTCGTCTGAGACTCCCTTCATCACACTCGGGCCTGGCCCACCTGGCCTTGCTAATGGGCTAACCTTCTTGATGATGCCCTACCAAGTCTCATTGGGCCTCTATTTGGGCTTCTTTTCACCATACCCCCAACACAACCCGTATGAAGTTCTTGAAAAATGTGATCGCGCCATCTATGAACAATCGTGTCTTAAGATCTTTGATATGTTGCAAAAAAGTTGAAATATTTTTAGGGGAACGAGTTAGAATTTGGTCAAAAGAAATACTTATAACTCGTGAGAAATATAAAGGATTAATATATTTGTATGATCCAAACTTTTTACATATTAAACATTCTGGCCAATCTTTTCGATTTATAATTTCGTGGTCTCAACTATGTATCAAAGTTACAAAATTGGCCAAACTTGAGATTTGACTGTTAATTTGGACGGTCAAGACCGTTGACTAACGGTCAACCCGACACATCACTGTCAAGTCATCATAAAATATTTAAAATATTCACAATTTTCACATATTTCTAATTTAATTATTATAAATTAAAAAAATTATATAATACCTTAGTTAAACCAAAAATAAAAAACGAAAAAAAAAAACTAAATACTTATCATATCCCCTCTCCCCAAAATGGATGCCATCGATTTGTTCCTCCTCTCCGTTGTCCTCCTCGCCATCTCGGTTGACCCTTCTTCCGTCAATCCCCCTCAAACCTAATCCTCCAATCACTTTCCCACAATCCAACCCATCTAATTGAAATCTCTCTCTCCGCTCTCTGCTTTATCTTCTTCTTCCCAGAAATCCCAAAAATTCTCAAACTCCCTTCTCAATTCTAAACCCTAAGTCTTTCGAGCCATCTCTATCCTCCCGCTCTATGCTTAACCCTCCTCGCCCTCTCTCCCCAAAGCCGCCTCCGCCTAATTCCAACTCGAACTCGCAGCTCTCCGTCACCATCTTCACCACTTAACTTCTAGTCGCTGATTCTCTCAGCCAAATTGATCGACTTCTGCATTTGGTTCGCCGACAATCTCTACAAGTCACCACAGGCACTTTTTCAATCTAAATCGCCACTTACACTAATTCAATAGAAGAGGATGATGGTGACGAGTGGCGGGCAGAATCGACAAAAAGGATTCCAGAGAAAACGGAGGTTGGAGCGGTTGGGGAAATCGCGATTACTAGTTCTGAAGACAGGCTGCCTTTGGAGACAGAGGCTACGGGAAATGGCGACTGGGGGATCGATATACTCAAGATATTGAGGAAAAGAGATCTACCTCCTCTGGTCCAAGCTGAGGTACCGATTGTCGAGCAACGAGTTCGATGATACAGCGCGCTTGCTTGTTGCATCATCGGATTTTGTTTCCTCCAATTTTAGTCATAATACAGATATTGGTAGTATGTGGATTTTGTGAATATTTTAAGTGGGTGTATGCTGACTGGGCAATGACATGACGAGTTGACCGTTAATCAATGATATTGATCGTCCAAACTAATGGTCAAATCTCGGGTTTGGCCAATCCCATAACTTGATGCATAGTTGAAGCCATGAAGTTATAAATCGAAAATATTGGCCATGATGTTTAATATGTTAAAAGTTCGGGCCATACAAATATATAGAGTGATGCGGTCAGTTGCATGCTAGAGCATACTTTACATAGTCAGGTGGTTTTTTAGCGAATACTTAATATTTAATATCTCCAACCCGTACTAAAATCATTACTTTGTTGTTGGGTTTGAGGAAATCTCACCCTAACATCATGTCAGTGTGATTTGCTCTAATAAAATCGGATCAAGTTCACCTGGATACCCACATAATGAGTTCTTTTGTAATCTCTAAATACAAACTATATTAAAACCCGTAATATGGACACAAGTTAAGGTGGAGTCTGAAAGATGTTTGATATGATGTAGTAACAGAGGTGACCTAACTGTCTAGATTAGCCTACCAGTAGTATGAAAGATTGTCTTCCCAGAGAACAAATCCAGGCATGTGTAAAACCATGGCCAAATCTAGTGTCCTCCCAGGTTCAACGCTAAGGATTGCACCTGCCATTGATCTTACATTCAGTGGTGGAGCCACAACCAGCCAAGGGAGGTTGGTTGCACTCCTTAGAGTTGTGATGATTGCCTGGATCAAGGGTGGTTTTGTGAGGGTTGGCTAATGGTGGTGAGAATGGTAGGTTCAAGCAAGTACATTGGGAGGAATGAGATGATGATTTATGATTGGGGAATGGAACAAAAGGGAGGTTTGGAAAGTTTGAGCAGGAAGAGAAAAGAGAGGCGCTCGGCTGAGTAGAGAGAGGGAAGAGAGAGATTGGATGATTTCCCTAATTTGATTGTTTATTTTTTAATAATACCAAATGACAATCATACATAGACTTATAGTCTCATTTTCCTAACAACTACCATAATAATCTCATTATCTCTCAATTATTCTCAATAATCCTAAATCTCCTAATATCTCATTGAATATCCTCAAATAACAATAATAATAATGATGTAGTTAAAATTATAACCTGGTGACACGTCATCTATCCGTGCCTCCATCAGTCGTCACCGCTTCAAAACAACCTTGCCTTCAAGGTTGTTAATCCGCATTGGCCTTGCTTGCTTCTGCCACCACTTCCTCTACTTCGTCTTCAAATGTTTCCACCAAGAGCATGAGATTGGCATTTTCTTCAATCGTTCAAACTCAAACTGAAAATCACCTACAGTTATAGTGTTGGTTTGTTTTAGTTTGACCAACTAATCGGAAGCTGACTCGCCTGTACCGCCAAACTGATATGCGAATTCCTCCTTAAACCGCTCCCATGTGATTAGCTCTCCTTTCTCGACATAGGTACACTCCAGCAACTATTGAGCTCCATCCTCGAGGTAAAATGATGCGACATAGGCTTGCCTTTCCTCCGGAATATTCTGATGTCGAAACCATCGCTCCACTCAAGCCACCCATAGCACTGCATCCTCAGTAGTTGAAAATTTAGAAAACTTGATGGTTGGGGTTTTGGGCCAGAACCAGCTACCGTCGTCTCCGTCTCTGTCGTACTAGCCTCCACCTCCTCCCTGTCGACCTTGGGTGTGACTCTCTCGGCCCCCGTACTCATATTCGTGGTTGATCATCTCCCAGTCACCCATCTGATCGCTCCCTCCACCTTCTATTTGTTTCCGTGGTCGATCTCCTGCGCTCTGACTGCCTCTTCCTTTCAGGAATCCCTTGTTATCGATCAGTCCACTGAAATGATGTGCATCCCGGCTTAGTCCCTCAACCGTGCCCCAGCCCAAAATAGCCATCTCCTCCTCGACTGCCCTTAATCGGGTTGAACCTAACTTGGTGGTTCGGCCTGGTCCAACCAAACTCGGTCCGCCTCGCCCTAGCCCTGCTCCGCGTCTCTGGTATGCTCCAGCTCTAGGCTTGGCGTCCGACACCCCCAACTCTATTCTCTCTCGTCTGTCCTGTCGCTGGTATCACCCCGACGCTGGCTCCCATGTGCCACAGTCGCCGCCGCCAGCAGTCTCCTTCCATCACCCGAGCGGTTGCTCGAGCTACTTTTGCGACGGAAGGGAGCCCTCGAGCTGATCCCTGCCCTCCTCGGCGGATCGCTGTTTTTGGGATTGGCGGCTACCATAGCCTGGTAGGTGGCCTTCATGTCGTTCCTTCGAATCAGGGCGTTCATGGCACGTGGTAGCTCGGCGAACCCTCCCTTCCTATGTTGGAGTTTTGGGCCTCAATTGCCTGTCGGCGCTCCTGCCCTGCCATTATTTGCGCTTTTTTCCGTGCTGTAGCAGTTGATTTAGCTTGGTCACCAATATTTTGTGTCCTTCCGCTAGATGCACGTGTCTTGCATAAACCATCTCCATGTCGATTTCTTCCTACATGGTGGGCCTGTCAGACGTCGTCTGGGATCCTTTCGTCTTGCTTATATTTCTGGTCTCTACTATCATATACCGTCGCCTTAATCAGTCTCTGATTCCAACTGATGAGTGTCAGGATCAAAGGTGGTTATCTGATTTGTGAGGATTGGCTAATGGTGGTAAGAATGATGGGTTTAGACTTGTACAGTGGGAAGAATGGGATGGTGATTTATGATTGCGGAATCTATCTATATCTATATTCTATAACATATATTATAGTCGTTCTATAGAAATAATTTGTCACGTCGGTCGTAGCTCATCTCTCATTGCTCCACACTAGCTTTTTCCACTTTTTACCATCTCTTTTCTGAACCGTTTTATAATAAAGCGCAACTATCTTAAATTAGTGATTTAGTAAATGCAAATAAAATAATGAATAATTATGAGCATACCACGTAGAAACAATTTACTCCTTTGAATTATAATTTTTTTATGAATTCTAGCCTCCATTTTGTTCACGATAAAGACTAAATTCTAGCTTTCAACTCTTCCGCCAACAAATTCGTGTTTGTAAAATCGTATCGTGCCGATAATTCGATTGAGAAAATTTCATGTTAAAGTCTAAACCGGTAGACAATTTTTAACGGTATGAAACGATAGAACCTAAATTAAATCACAGTTTCACTATAAAATATTATATCACTGACTTTCCGGTACAATCTCGGGTAGGCTTTGATAATAATTACCATTTGCTTATGTATTTTCTAAGTTCCAACCATACATTGACTTTTGTGTTTCTCCAAACCAACAATCATACTCAGTTACTCCTTTCACCAAAAAAGACTTAGTTACTCCAATAAAATCTTATAGCTTCACATTTATAGAAAAAAACTAGCTAGGGCCCGGCCATTTGGCCGGCAGAAGGTGAGGTATGAAATTTGATAATGTAATGAGGTGTATAATTTATTGTTGTATAGTTTTTTTTTTGAAACACGTGATAAAAATAGTGAATTTTAGTAGGAAAGAGACATGAATTACGCAACGAATCAAAAATCAGCCTTATGAACCAAAATCAAGTACCTGTTACCTTGTGAAACAATATTGTTACTGGTAATATGAAGAGGTGGAGTAAGTTTTATAGAAACCGACTTCCAGAAAATCGAATAAAAAATCGCATATCCCGCCGGTTTTCGAGAAATGAGCATCTCACAATCGTTGCTAGCTTTTACTCGGCCCGTTGGTCGATTAATTTGCTTTGTAAAACTTTCATCTTGTCATCATTGTGCTTTCTAGTTTTTTGCCAAGCCATGATAAAATCTAAAGAAATCAAGAATGAACAACACGATTTGGGATAGGAACCACCGTTCCTGTATCCCTAGGAAATGGTGGTAAACACGGACTCACTTGCCAAACTTGTTTGGATTGAGATTTTTATCGGGTATCAGGGAACCATGTGATTATAAATTAGACTTGATCAAAACGGGCCAAAACTTGAAATTCAGCCTGTTTGACGGACCCATGCCAAACTCTAATTATTCTTTACTTTTAAACTTTCTATTCGAAAACAAAATATAATGAAAGAAAAGAGATGACTGCAATTCGCCATTTGCACATCACTGATTCGGGAATAAAACTGTAGAATTTCGAAAGGAAACTGAAAATGTTTAGGATCGTTTTAATGTTAAAAATAGCCAAATAAATCTTTATGTTTAGTTTTTTTACTAACAAATACCAAACGATTCCCTATAATATACACTATAATTTGATCATTATGATATCAAATAATTACATAATATATATTTGAAATGATAAAAATTGGACTAATTGGGTTGGTCGAGATTGAAGCATTGAATAACTTTATAATACATTATATATTAGCCACTAAGATATAAAATAATCGCATAATATATATTATGTTATGCCAGAGAAAATAGCTTGTTTTAGAATGACAAACTCATGATGTTCATTTGTTTTACTTGATGGGCAAATCTCGTGTAGGTCAGGCCCATTCAACTCTTTTATTTTATGATTAGCGGTTAGCCCATTAGAATCCATGCATTAGTTTATTGTTAATTTTTTTTTCTTTTTAGCAATAAAAAGGAGTATTGTTTTTGCCTTTTCATATATATTTTACCACCACGGAGAAATAAAAGGACTTAAAGAAAAAAATTGACACTCCTAGACCCGTTTAAATCTGCATGTGTACGGTAAGTTGGCCCGTTCCACAGAGAAAAAAGAAAAATAATTGACACTCCCTATTATACCCTTCCTACAAACGCTCATCGAGCAGGGAATTTGAAATGGGGGGAGTGATTTTCCTTTCTGCGATTATATGTTTTTAATTTAAAAAGATACAACAAATATACTTAGGGGTCGTTTGGATGGATCAATTGTAAAACGAGACAATTTGACCAATTGTTTCATTTTACAAAACGAGTCATTTAAAACGAGTCAATTCAGATTACCTGCCCCCACCCCAGACAATTGTAATTGGCTTAAAATGAGTCAATTCAGAATTCCCCAGCCCAAATTGCTTCATCCAAATTTTCTGCTGCCAAACGGATCAATGTAGCACAATTGACTCAAAACGAGACAATTGTGTCAGATTGATCCATTAGAATTCATCATCCAAACGACCCCTTAGTGTGATTTGTTATGATCTTTGTTTTTCTTTAAAGTGGTCATGGTTCGAATCCTAGTAAGTGTCTTTTTAATGAATAAAAAAAAGTAATTTTGAAGACCAAAATGTCCTTCCTACTTTCACTCTGGATGCAGAAAATTTGAAATGGGGCTTCAAGTTTTCTCATTTGATTTAATTATTGTGTAGAAATATAATAAGTTGACGAGAAAAAACATTTTATATATACTTGGGTTTGACAATAACACAGAGTCCAATTTCAATTTACCGAGTAATGGAAAATTAAATAGAAAATGACCCTATGATTCCACAATACCATATAATATGGTTTCTATGTCGGTCCGTACAACCAGTTCAACTAGCAATGGACAAAAACATGTAAGAAGGCCACCATTATGAAGCGGTAGTTAAAACTAGTAAAAAGCGACCAAAGTCGGTCAAAATTAGAAATATTTGGGATCAAATTTGAATAATTAATTTTTTATCAATAAACAAATAGTTTTGTTTTGGTGGAATTAATAAACAAAAATTCTGAATTCAAATATGAATATTTAGATATGATGTTATGAGTTGGATTTAAATATAAACTATTGAAGTTGACATCAGATGTTACCTTTGAATACCATAATAATGTATTGGTAGTTATATATTCATAATATTAGGAGATTGTTTTAAGATAAATCATATATATGCACAATTTGTCTTTTTGCTAGCTTTCAAGTAGATTTATTGAAAACTGTGTTTTTACTCTTTACCCGATACAATTCCAATTTATTTCTTTTTTCATTTTGTTGATAAATATAATTCCTTTATTTTTTAGGATATGTGAAAATTGACAACCTTGAGCCATAATTAGATAAATAACACCAAAATTAGGCATAATTTATCACCAAATATCAAGTTCTTTGATCACTCTAAGGGTCAAATGCCTGTTTTAGTTTTCTAATTTTCTTGATCAAACAAAAGAAAAATAGGAACCCAACATCATTAAAGAAAAATAACAAACAACAGAAGGAAAGAAAACAAAGAAACAAACCGCCCATCGGGCGGGCACGACACTAGTAAAACATAAAGGAGGTTTGGGAAGTTTGAGACGCGAGGAAGAGGGAATAAAGAAGAGATGCACTCGGCCGAGTAGAGAGAGGTTGAATGATTTTCTTAATTTGATTGTTTATTTCTTAATAATCCCAAATAAAAATCATACGTAGACTTATAGTCTCCTTTTCCTAACAACTACCATAATAATCCCATATCTCTCAATTATTCTCAATAATTCTAAATCTCCTAAAATCCCAATGGATATCCTAAAATAACAATAATTATAATGATGATGTAATTAAAACAATAAAATGGTGACACCGCAATCTGTGCCTCCATCAAGTTGGCAGGCCAAACTAAAAATCACATGCAAACGTTAGCAAGGACTACACCTTCCATTCAGTGATGGAGCCACAGCCAGGCAAGGGAGGTCGGCTGCACTCCCTTGGACAGGTTGTAGGGATGACAATGTGAACCCGCCCCATCGGGTATTACCCGAACTGACCTGTGATGGGATGGGATGGGTATTACCCGCCCTGCCCCGTCCCGCCCCATTCATGACCCATTCAATCACAATTTCTTATAGTATCTACTCAATTTTCTCTAGTTTTGGCTTTTTCAACTAATTAGACTTGATTTTCAATTATTTAGACTCAATTACTCATTCTATTATCACCATTTTCATTCATTTTATCATAAAACATAAAATTTTGCGAATATTATTTTCAAATATTGTGTAAAAGTGGGTCGATCCGCCCCGTCCCGTCCCACCCCTCGCGGGTATTATCCGCCCCGACCCATAATAGCATTGGGCGAGGCATGGGGTATTGAAGTACCCGCCATGCCCCATTGTGTAAAAGTAATTTTCCATTCATTTAGCCTTTCTATTATCACCATTTTCAAAGTGTTTTTCCATTCATTTTATCATAAAACATAAAATTTTACGTATATTATTTTCAAATATGGTGTAAAAGTGGGTCAATCCGCCTCATCCCATAATAGCATTGGTCGAGGCATGGGGTACTGAAGTACCCGCCCCGCCCCATTGCCATCACTAGCTGGCTGGCTCAGTTAATAATCACATGTAAACGTTAGCAAGGAGAGAGTTTTGAACAATGACCTACCTTGCAAGAGTAGAAACTGAACTCCAACAATCACGCCACTAACTAGTTGTTAACGTGTAATTTAATCTATACTTTGTTACACGTCCAACTTACATAAATTAAAACGACCTCACCTACTTCCCCATCTCAATCCCTAATTGATGTTGTTGCCGAGTGCCGACGTTCCTGATAATCGGCTTTAACATATTGAATTCTTAGACTTTATGTGATTATTCGTGGTATGTTTTAGTCAATTGGTGCTATTTTAGGGCTCGCTAACCCGAGAATGGTTGAAAAACCATTACTGTCTAGTGCCATGAGTTTGATGTATTACAGGTGAAGAGAACACGAAAAAGAAGTTGCACCGACAAACAATTCTCGAAGCTGGGCTCAAGGCCCAGCTGGATGGGGATTAATGAAATGGGCCAAAGCCCATTCGACTGAGGCTCCTTATGCTGGGCCGGATTTGCTGGGCCAAAGGTCTTTTGGTCTCAAGGAGTGGGGCGGCTGGGATTGGATTGAAAAACAAAAAGGAAAAGGCAAAGCTTCTGGTGGACGGAACAGGGGAAATAATTAGAAGCAGGGAACAAGGAAGGCAATTACGGGAGGAAGAAAAGAATTCTCTAGGCGGAATTTTATTCTTGGAGCGAGGGCAAGAATTCTGGGGAAAAAGAGAAAAGCGGAGCAGCGCAGGTAACGAAGAGAGAGAGGCGCAGCGGAGAAGGCATCAGGCGGCGATTGGCGATTCACAAATCGGCGATCAACTTCTCTCGAACGGCTTGAGCTGAGTTCAACGAGAACGATTAGTTGGTTGGATTTTCTAAACCAAATTAGTTGTTATTTGTTGATTTAGAACATGATGAACAAAACCCTATCGATTTATCTTAATTTCGTCATGAACTAAACCCCAATTTCTGGGGGAAACACCACAGGATGTAGCTATTTCTTGATTTGATGGATTGATTCATGATTCTTTTCTTCCAATCTCTATTGCATGGAATTGCTTAATGCTTTGTGTTGACTGGCCACCAATACAATGATTTGTAGTTAATTAGGTTATTAGCGACAGTGAAACCCTATTAACTGAACATATTTCTTGTGACATAGTAACTTATCGAAGCGACAGTGGATTAAATAAGGTGCTATGCGGTCTTAAATAGGATATCGTTCTTCAGGCTAAATAATTAAGTCATTGAGCTACGACAGTAGGATTTGATTTAATTGTTTAGTACGTAGTAATTCCCGACAGGGATAGCTAGCACAGTAGTGATATCCTGGCTGTAGAGAGTTGGATTAAACTGATTGGAATGTGTGAATTAATCTGGAAGGATAGGTAGTGAATCCCGGTGTTTCTCCCAGAGCTTTTTCCATTGAATTTCTCCCGACTATTTTACTTTGTTTAATTAGTTTATTTTGCTTTTAGATAATTAGTCTCATAAACCATTTTCACCTATAGTTTGCTCTATAAATTGATAGAATGAAAGGTTGTACCAGTCCCTGAGAGACGATACCCGGATTGCTGGTTTTACTACAAGATAGGAAGTGGCATTACGCTTTTGCCCTATCAAGTTTTTGGCGCCGTTGCCGGGGACTGCCATACCTTATTTTTTGTTGATTTTTGTGAGTGAACTATTTTGATCTGTGTGCTAGTGTGCAGGTGAATTTCAGGTTAATCCTTTTTGTGCATGCCTAGGAGGACAACCAGGGATTTATTGCCACTAGACCTGGAGATCGAGAAGACCTGTCGACTGAACAGGAAGCAGGTCAAGTTAGGGAAGCAGCAAACCACAACTCCTAGGCCTTCCCTAACCCAGAGAGGGCAGGCTTCATCACCAGTCGTCCCTACACCACCACCACCACCTCGTGACATTGAGCCAGTCATCATGGCAGACGAGGATCGTTCGATCAGGGCTCGTTTAAATCGACGAACTGGAGCCCGGGCTTCATGTGTTTTCATTCCGGCTGGGGATGCAACCATGGAGATTACCCCAGCATTTATCAACATGATCACCAATGGGTATACTTTCTCTGGGGCTAGCAATGAGGATCCTCACGAGCATCTCCGCCGGTTCGCGAGTATATGTGATACAATGAAGAGCCCCACAGTATCTGATGATGCAATCCGTCTTCGGATGTTTTCATTTTCTCTGCTAGGGAATGCATCACACTGGTTCCAAAACTTAACACCCCATTCCATCACGACATGGGGTCAGCTTGAGAAGGTATTTCTGGATAAATACTTCCCACCTGCCTTGGCAATGAAGAGGCAAGAAGAGATTGTTACTTTTAAGCAGGCTGATGATGAGAGTCTGACCGAGGCATGGGAGCGCTATAAGGAGCTTCTAATGAGATGCCCGAGCCACGGTCTTGAAGATTGGAATGTGATCTCCATTTTCTTCAACGGAATCAGAAGACAATTTCGAGATGCTCTGAATAATGCTTCCCGAAATGGTTTCACAAGAATGGAAGCACCAGAAGCATATGAACTGGTGGAGAAGATATGCTCTGAAGATACTGAATGGGGTAGTGAGACCGGCATTCGAAGGAGAGGAGGCTTGCATGAGATAGACAGAGTTGCAAGCTTAGAAGCAAAGATTGATGCTAAGCTGGATTCCAAGTTCGATGCACTCGAACGAAGGCTGGCTAAGATGGCTCTTGGTAGACAGGAGGAGGTTGCATATTGCGAATTATGTGAAGGTGCTCATCATAGGGATCTATGTCCACTGGTAGCTGATCAGTTGGAAGATGTGCACTATATCAACAATCAGCAAAATCAAGGCCAGGGTGGTATGTATTCAAATACCTACAACCCGCAATGGAGGAAGCATCCTAACTTTTCCTGGGCAAACAACAACCCAACTGGTGCTCGCAACATTCCACCTCCAGGCCTGCAGAAACAACAACCTCAACCAGAGAAGAAACCACAACTTGAAGAATTGCTTCTGGCTCACATGCAGAAAACCGACAATAATCTGAAGGGTCTTGATCAATTTGTCACTCAACAGCTAGCCATCAACAATAATTTGCAATCATCTATGCTAGCTATGGAGAGGCAAATAGGCCAGATGGCTCAAACTTTGGCAGATATGCAAGGCAGGATTCCTGGGACATTACCAGCAAATACTGAGAGGAATCCGAAGGATGCCATGGTTGTAGCAGTGACATTGAGGAGTGGAAAGGCCTTGGAAGACCCTAGCAGCTCGAAAAAGGCACCAGAGGCAGAAGAGGAAGCACCGGAAGAAAGATCTTGTGCAGAAAATGAAGAATCAGCCTTGCACAGGCAAAATGAAAGCGGTTTGCCTGTGCAAAAGCATGCTGCCCGTGTACCTCAAAAAGTGGAAAAATTGAAGAATGAAGAGGTAAAGCCTTATGAACCTCCGCACCATTCCCTCAAAGGTTAATGAAGCCCATAGAAGACCCAAACTTCAAGAAATTTGTGAATATCTTCAAGCAACTTCAGATTAACATACCCTTGGCGGAGGCACTTGAACAGATGCCTGCATATGTGATGCTCTAAAACACAACACCTAACAATGGCCAAGTGTAACCAATGAAAGGGACTGCAGTATAGTGGCACAAGTAATAAATATTGAATCCACGGGTCTCTAGAGTTACTATTACTCAGCTTCAGTTCATTATCTAGCAAACTAGATTAAGAATTTGATTAACTAAACTACTCTACTAACTAAACTAAGTAAAAGTACTAATTACAGTTTGGGAACTCACTTAGGTATGATTCCCCCTAGCTCCTCAATTAGGTCCAAGTTGTAATTCATTTTGGTTGATTTACTGTTGATTAAACTGCGGAAGATCCGACAGTAGCTTGGAATCTCTTAAGCTGACCAAGCCCTCTCAGTCTAACTATCCGGCAGACGACTAGTCTTCACCGGGATAGAAAGCTGAAGCAATAAGCACAGAACTCCACTACTGGAATTGGATTCCAGTACAAAGCAGTAAACTGGCTAACTCTCGTATAGCCAATCTCCTACTACCGAATGATGAGACTCTAGCAACCTAATCAGATTCTATCTATCTCAGATTGCAGCAGGAATCAGGAAAAGTTGATCAGACTTCAATTGACTCAATAAACATGCATCATTCGATTATAATCAAACAACAAAGCATCCAAAACTTCATATAAGCAAGCTCCTAACTCATGGAACTAGGGTTCCTCAAAACCTAAGTGAAGGGAAGTTACTCCATAGAGAAGAGAGAGACTGCAGAAATCTGATCTAGATCTTCAATCTCCATCTCCAAGCTTGATTCCCGAGCTTCAATGGCGAAGAAATCCTCCAAAATAGCTCCAAGAAAGTTTCCAAGTCGCTCTCTCTCTCTAGGGTTCGTCCCTTGGGTGTTTGGGATCCAAAACCCAGCTCTCCCTCTCCTTTGGCTCGAATTTGGGTTAAAAACAGCCATTCCCGACTCGCACGGCCAGGGTGCACGGCCGTGCACATCACCATTCTGGCTGTGCACCTCAAAACGCGGCGTATCAATTAGTTGAACCTCAGCCAACTCGCACGGCCAGAATTGTATGTTGCACGGCCGTGCGTGGCCACGCACAATCCCGTGCGTGCCCACGCACAATCCCGCACGGCCAAAATGGTCACTTGCACGGCCGTGCGTGGCCACGCTGGTCTGCCCGTGTAGCTTGCTCAGCCTCTGTTTAATGCTTCGTTTCTCCCTCGTCCGGACTCCGAATCCATCGCCGTTTGATCCCAGACGCTCGTAGTCTCGTCCTCTTTCATTTCATAACAAGCTTGCATGATTCTTTGTCCATAAAGTGAGGTAGAAATCCATTCTTCTTCAGGTCATGCCCGAGTTTCTTCTCTTGAATCGTCAATTGATCTCTGATTGACTTGAAACTTGCGCCTATGCTTCACTTTATGTGCTAGGACCTGAAATGGGACAAAGGAACACAACCTAGCATAAAATAGGCCAAAGACGCAATAATTCAAGCTCAAACAATCAAGAAACAAAGGGGAAAACATGTGCAAATACCGAGTCATCAATATGCTAAATTCTTAAGGGAGTTGCTGACAAAGAAGCGCAAATGGGCTGATCTGGAGAAGGTAACCCTTACTTCTGAATGTAGTGCTGTGATTCAGAATAAATTACCAGAAAAGAGGGATGATCCGGGCAGCTTCACCATTCCATGTGTCATTGGAGGTACAGAATTCAATAAATCACTTTGTGATCTTGGAGCAGGAATTAATTTGATGCCATACTCAGTCTACAAGAAATTGGGATTGGGAGATGTTCTTAAGCCTACTCGGATCACTCTCCAATTGGCTGATCGATCAGTAAAAATTCCAAAAGGAGTGGTGGAGAATGTATTGGTGAAGGTGGGGAAGTTTATTCTCCCTACAGATTTTGTGATTCTGGAGATGGAAGAAGATCGGGGAGTGCCTCTCATTCTTGGTAGACCTTTTCTAGCCACTGGCGATGCACTCATCGATGTTGGGAGAGGCAAGTTGACATTCCGAGTAGGTAAGGAGGAGGAAATTTTTAATGTCTTTCAAATTGATCATAATCATGATGCATTTGATGACTTTGAAAGTGGAGCTCGAGAAAGGAAAAATCCCTCTTCCTGTGATAGTGGACCATCCGAAGAACTATCACCTATCCTATCTGCTCAGATTCTGAAATCAAAGCAAGGGCAGAAATCCTTGCCAGGTCACCTCAAGTATAGATATTTGGGTAAGGATTTCAATATTCCTGTTATTATTCCTTCTTCACTGACATTGAAACAGGAAGAGTACTTGCTTGAGGCGCTGCAGTACCACCTACGCCTCACTAAAGGGTCCAACATGCAAGATAAGAAGGTCATACCAAATTTTCGTACACCTGGCCCTGCAGAGGTGACTCATATGTTAGATGGAGGCTATGCGTTCTATCATTGCTCGGGAGGGTATGCTGGATACCTTTCCATACCCATTGGTTGAAAGCTCCATAAACGTCAGGCTGAGGACGTTAAACAAGCGCTTCTTGGGAGGCAACCCAAGGTAAGTTTTCTTTTCTTTATTTTTATTTTTAGTTGTGTCAAACCCGTGCATGTTTAGATTAGGAGTTGAACATTAGGGACAATGTTCCATCCTGAGTGTGGGGTGGTGAGTCTTAGTGTTGTTTGTCCCTGTTGCATGTGGTAAAAAAAAAAAATCCAAAAATCCAAAAAAAAAAAAAAATTCAAAATTTTTTTTTTGTTCCTTTTGTCATGTGGTCGGTAAAAAAAAAAAAAACAAAAAATCCAAAAAAAAAATTGCCATTAGGTTGAGCACAGCCAAACTGCATGCAGTTTGCCTGTGTAAAAAGCAGTCTGCCTGTGCAAAGCTAATGGCTTAAAAACACCTAAAAATCAGAAAAATTAAAAACAAAACCTTGTACTCTTGTGGTAATATGATGTAAATTACTGTGATGCGTGTGAAATGAGTTTGTGCTTGAATAAAATCATCAAAATCACCCCACTAGTGTTGAATTGCATGGTTCTTCACAATGAGCTTGAATGTTTTGACTGACTTGATATGCTTTGAATGAGCAACTCATTTAGCAACATTCTCTTTTGTGAGGATAGTGTAACGGCTTTTGGTGAAGTAGTTAGGTGGAGAACATTGACCATTCGATATGTTTGGATACCGTGCTTACTTGCATCAATTGTGAGCTTTTGATTTTGCAATGAGTCTCTCTGTTTTGAATGTTTTATGATGGGGCGAACTGTATCTTCATAAAAGAAAACACTACCTGACAAGTAAAATATAAGAAAGTTGCCATAACAATTAAAGTGTGGGTAAAAATGCCAAAATCGTGTGAGGCAATCACTCATTGCACATGGGGATGAGGAAAGATTCAATTGAGAATCGGTTCGCGACCGTACGATGTTGCTTATCAAGTACGATCCCCAGTTGAGTGAAGTGCCATTTGAGGATGTGCAATGACCCTCCACACGGACCGAGGATAAGGAGTTAAAAGAAGCTCTTATGCGAGTGCTAAGAAGCAGAAATTGCTCTTGCTCGGTCACCGGTAGTAAGAAACAAATCCCACTTGTACTAAATACGACCTCTCGGCAAGCAAAAGCAGAAAGAGAGAAAGCCTCTCCTTGTCATAAAAGGTAGTGATGTGCTTAAAGTAAAATCATGTTTGCGAAAGGCTTCCCCCATTAGTTTTTGAGACTCATGCTTAATTAATTGCTTATGATTGGTGTGAGTAAGCCAGACTGTCCTCACGAGATATGCACCTCACTGATGTGGTTAGATTCTCCTAATAATTGTTGCACCATAAGTTGTTAACCACCCGCTACCGATGATCGAATTTGAGTGTTGCTATTTGAGTTTTTGATGGATTTGAGTCAGTCAATGGTAATGGTTGCAAAGAACTTGAGTGTGGGGTGAAAAGTATGACCATTAAAACACAACTCATCCGTTGAGAAAGAAACTACTGATTACAACAAGAGTACAAGGAAAATTTTGTTGTGTTTGAGTGTTTGATTAGTGAGTCTGTGGTGTGTCATTGTTATGATTGGTTATGTGTTTGTGTCATTTGAGTCGTTGCTTAGGGACAAGCAACAATTGAGTGTGGGGTTGTGATAATCGGCTTTAACATATTGAATTCTTATACTTTATGTGATTATTCGTGGTATGTTTTAGTCAATTGGTGCTATTTTAGGGCTCGCTAACCCGAGAATGGTTGAAAAACCATTACTGTCTAGTGCCATGAGTTTGATGTATTACAGGTGAAGAGAACACGAAAAAGAAGTTGCACCGACAAACAATTCTCGAAGCTGGGCTCAAGGCCCAGCTGGATGGGGATTAATGAAATGGGCCAAAGCCCATTCGACTGAGGCTCCTTATGCTGGGCCGGATTTGCTGAGCCAAAGGTCTTTTGGTCTCAAGGAGTGGGGCGGCTGGGATTGGATTGAAAAACAAAAAGGAAAAGGCAAAGCTTCTGGTGGACGGAACAGGGGAAATAATTAGAAGCAGGGAACAAGGAAGGCAATTACGGGAGGAAGAAAAGAATTCTCTAGGCGGAATTTTATTCTTGGAGCGAGGGCAAGAATTCTGGGGAAAAAGAGAAAAGCGGAGCAGCGCAGGTAACGAAGAGAGAGAGGCGCAGCGGAGAAGGCATCAGGCGGCGATTGGCGATTCACAAATCGGCGATCAACTTCTCTCGAACGGCTTGAGCTGAGTTCAACGAGAACGATTAGTTGGTTGGATTTTCTAAACCAAATTAGTTGTTATTTGTTGATTTAGAACATGATGAACAAAACCCTATCGATTTATCTTAATTTCGTCATGAACTAAACCCCAATTTCTGGGGGAAACACCATAGGATGTAGCTATTTCTTGATTTGATGGATTGATTCATGATTCTTTTCTTCCAATCTCTATTGCATGGAATTGCTTAATGCTTTGTGTTGACTGGCCACCAATACAATGATTTGTAGTTAATTAGGTTATTAGCGACAGTGAAACCCTATTAACTGAACATATTTCTTGTGACATAGTAACTTATCGAAGCGACAGTGGATTAAATAAGGTGCTATGCGGTCTTAAATAGGATATCGTTCTTCAGGCTAAATAATTAAGTCATTGAGCTACGACAGTAGGATTTGATTTAATTGTTTAGTACGTAGTAATTCCCGACAGGGATAGCTAGCACAGTAGTGATATCCTGGCTGTAGAGAGTTGGATTAAACTGATTGGAATGTGTGAATTAATCTGGAAGGATAGGTAGTGAATCCCGGTGTTTCTCCCAGAGCTTTTTCCATTGAATTTCTCCCAACTATTTTACTTTGTTTAATTAGTTTATTTTGCTTTTAGATAATTAGTCTAATAAACCATTTTCACCTATAGTTTGCTCTATAAATTGATAGAATGAAAGGTTGTACCAGTCCCTGAGAGACGATACCCGGATTTCCGGTTTTACTACAAGATAGGAAGTGGCATTACGCTTTTGCCCTATCAAGTTTTTGGCGCCGTTGCCGGGGACTGCCATACCTTATTTTTTGTTGATGATGATGATGTAACAATAATTATAATGATGATGTAATTAAAACAATAAAATGGTGACACCTCAGCAATCTGTGCCTCCATCAAGTTGGCAGGCCAAACTAAAAATCACATGCAAACGTTAGCAAGGACTACACCTTCCATTCAGTGATGGAGCCACAGCCAGGCAAGGGAGGTCGGCTGCACTCCCTTGGGCAGGTTGTAGGGATGACAATGTGAACCCGCCCCATTGGGTATTACCCGAACTGACCTGTGATGGGATGGGATGGGTATTACCCGCCCTGCCCCGTCCCGCCCCATTCATGACCCATTCAATCACAATTTCTTATAGTATCTACTCAATTTTCTCTAGTTTTGGCTTTTTCAACTAATTAGACTTGATTTTCAATTATTTAGACTCAATTACTCATTCTATTATCACCATTTTCATTCATAAAGTGTTTTTCCATTCATTTTATCATAAAACATATAATTTTGCGAATATTATTTTCAAATATTGTGTAAAAGTGGGTCGATCCGCCCCGTCCCGTCCCACCCCTCGCGGGTATTATCCGCCCCGACCCATAATAGCATTGGGCGAGGCATGGGATATTGAAGTACCCGCCATGCCCCATTGTGTAAAAGTAATTTTCCATTCATTTAGCCTTTCTATTATCACCATTTTCAAAGTGTTTTTCCATTCATTTTATCATAAAACATAAAATTTTACGTATATTATTTTCAAATATGGTGTAAAAGTGGGTCAATCCGCCTCATCCCATAATAGCATTGGTCGAGGCATGGGGTACTGAAGTACCCGCCCCGCCCCATTGCCATCACTAGCTGGCTGGCTCAGTTAATAATCACATGTAAACGTTAGCAAGGAGAGAGTTTTGAACAATGACCTACCTTGCAAGAGTAGAAACTGAACTCCAACAATCACGCCACTAACTAGTTGTTAACGTGTAATTTAATCTATACTTTGTTACACGTCCAACTTACATAAATTAAAACGACCTCACCTACTTCCCCATCTCAATCCCTAATTGATGTTGTTGCCGAGTGCCGACGTTACCCTCCCAAAATAGCGATCTTCCTCGTCACCTCTCCCCGTACAAAGAAAAAATAAAAGAGCCGCCTCCCTCAACTCCTGCATTCCTCCTCTGGCTGCTCGGGTGGCCATCATCAACCTATCTTGCTGTAATAGCCCGGAGAAGAAGAGTTGAATTCTTGGCGTATATCAACAATAGAGTTTCAGAGATGAGAAGAATCGGAGAGAAGAAAGAAGAGAAAGCAAGGGAAGAACAGAGATTGAACAGAGGAAGGAAGCAGAGAAGAGATAGGGAAGAAGGAAGCAATTTCTGTAAATTGTATTCGGTACCGAGTTCAATACATGAGGGTCCTATTTATACTTGTTACACAATTACATTCCACTCCCTATTCTTAACGACTTTGCATCTTAGTCCCATTTATTACAACTGATGATCCTGGATTTGTCCCGGCGAAGTAATTGGCAAACAGTGTAATAGAGGCAAGAATGAGGGAAAGAGGAAGAGAAATTGAGAAGGGAAGGAAGAACAGAAGCAGAAGCATGGGGAAGAAGAAGGATAGAACGAGAGAGCAGAAGAAGAGAATAGGGAATTGGAATTCTGTTATTTCTTCATGTCTCCAGTACGACAAGATAGAGCTTTTATAGCCTTGTACAATTATCTAAGTGATCCTCCTTATTCTACTACTTACAACTACCTCCTCCTAGATATTGGGTTCATTACAACTCCCCATCCCTTGAGAACAGACTTGTCCCCAAGTCTGTTAACCAATTCAAACCGACATACAATGCAGCAATTAATCGACTCAAGAAAGGAAATGAGATGAAACTATAACAGCAAGGAAATGACTCAAACTGGATGGAAGAGTTGCTACTCAATGATAGCAAGTTGCTGAAGTCCAGTCATAGTAGCATGAGCAATCCTCAACACACCAGCAACAAGGCTTGTCAAAAAAGCATTCCCCACAACATTACTTCCAGATTTCTTACTGCAAAAACAGAAGATACAGTGTTGCGATGTCTATGCCGCAGCAAGATGCACAAGAAACAACAACCATCCATCACTGCCAACTCCATCTTCAGTAGGATCCACACACTGCCCCCACTCCCAACAGCTTTATATGGTTCTTTAAAGTCAGGGCAGGCGCCTCTGCCATAGGAAAGGATGATGTTACCTCTAGAACATAATGTTTGTAGGGCTCCTTGAACACAATGTTTGTAGGGTTCCTTGAAGTTAGGTTCTTGTTCCCTGCACTGAAAATTAACAGAATTGCCATAATGAAGCTCATCAGCTGCACCAACCCTCAACTCAATTTCCTTACAACCATTGAAGAACCAACACTGTAGAGAAATCCAATCAAACAACTCCCCAACACAAGCTATCAAGGCCTCCTTGTACGGTGCCTTAAAGCAAGGGCACCGTCCTCTGCCACGAGACACTACACAAACACCATAGTAGGTAGGGAAAACTTGATATTCATAACCCCATCTGTCATTCAACCCCCAAATCCATTGAAGCCACCAAGTAAAAAATTCTACAGATTTTCTACCATCTTCATACACATATCCAGCCCATTCCGGTTGGCCATATACAACACATGGAAAGTCAAGATGCAGCATCCCACTAGTACCAATATTCAATGAATACGTATGGAACAACATAGAAGCCATTTGATCACCATTACTTTGAAAACCAGCCTTGTTTTCTACTCCAATAGTGAAGGCAGATTGTTGGACTTCTCCTTGAGCAAGCAACACCCCATTTCCAGCCTGCTTGACATGTGTTTTATCCATCATTGAGCTGGTAGTAGCACCAAAGTGCAAATCTGTTTTTGTGACCATTTCAACAAAAGAATTCAGCTTGTCCATTTTGTGCAAAGACCACAAAGAACCTGAAAAAACTGGCCAACCAGGTGGTTTCAAAGGAACACTAACGGCAAACATGTGCTCCTCAGGAAGCCCAAAGCCTCCCCCTACAGGATACCACTTAGTAAGATCTTCATTCACAAATTCCTGGAGTGGTGCATCAGATTCTACAACTGTAGTTAGTACTTTCATTTCTGGAGACTCTATTCCCTTCATCATACTATCCTCAACTATAAAAGCAGCAGAAGGAAAGGTTGCAGCACTCTTCACTACAACAAATTCGGCCTATTATGACGAGGTAATTTTGTCATATTAGATACTCATTTTGTCATATTTGGTATAATATGACAAAAGGTGTGGTCACAAAGGTTTGTCATTTTATCGCAGTCAGGATAGGTCAAATGTGACAAAATTTTAAAACAAGGTTGTCACATTTGGTTTCAGTATAGCTGAGGTTCTTAGTAGTCTATTGTGACAAACAAAGATGTTATGACGACATATTTTTGTTATTATTTTTGTCATAATTTGCTTATTTTGTCATAAATTGTTCGTCATATTACACCGTTATATTTTCACATCACATAATTGTGACAAACGAATTGTCATAAATGCATGATGTGACGAATATATTTTGTCATAACTGCATGGTGTGACGAATATATTTTGTCATCATTGTATATTAGGACGAACGTATTCTGTCATAACTACATATTGTGACCAATATGATTTATTCACCAATATACTGAATAACATATAGTTGAAAAAATTAATATTCTTATAGCATGAAACTCCAATCAAACAAATACTATTTACATATCTAACTTTTTCTGGTGTGCTAAACAAACTAATCTGGGAATTCTGCATCCCTCGGCAATGCTGGCCTATTGTTGTCACTGTTGTTGCCGCTTATATGTTCATACAATCTGCAGAGAAAACCTACATCAAATTGAAAGGATTATTAACCCCAAAACCTATATGTTTGCTACAGAGATACATAGAAGTACAAGATCGAGATGAAACTATTCTGAGATGGGAACAAATCTACCTATTAATAGCCCAAATCAGTGGTTGAGGTGTCAAACGCTAGTACCTGCAGGTAGCTGCTTCCGCACATGGCTTTAAGTAAAACAAGAGCAGCCAACCTCTGTAGCAGAAATTCCAGAAATTAGTGACTTAACAACCTTCTCTAGAAAAACAGCAGCAAAAACTGAATTTCCACAAATTGGACTGAGAAACTGCAACAAAGCATAAGCAAACAAGAGAAATCTACAAGACTGCAACAATAAAAAAAAATTGCAGGCTGCAACAAGTTAAACAATTTTAATGAGAAATTTTCAAAATATACCAGCATTCAAGTCTTTCCCCATGGGTTGTGAAAACGGAAAACTGGATATTAAACTAATGAAACTAACAGAACAAATTATATTAGAGGTATTATAACAAACCATTATAAACCAAAAAAAAAACTTGAACACTCGTACATAGTTTAAACTAAATCAAATTAATGAAGTTATCAATTCATGTGCCAATCTTCTTGTCTCATGTGATAAACAACCTTCTTCTCTCCATGAAGCATTGCTATCACTCCACCATCTTCTCATTCCCTAGCTCGATATATAAGTATACATTTAAGTTCAAATCACCCATTCATGTGGTTTGAATAAAACATTGGAACATTGTTCCATTAAAGAACACGAGGCAGAAAGATAAACCAACTAAACCAAACCACCCTAGAGGGAATTCGGAAGTTTAGATCTGGGCCTAAAAAAAACTCTAAACCTCACATAATTGTATACTATCGAAACACAATTGCCCGGAAGTCTAGATCTGTAACCATTCGCCCCTCCCTTTCTAATTGAGCGACCAATCTCTTTCCTTACTCCTTTTCTTGTAAATTTGAACTTAACTTTCAAAATCATACACACAATTTCCCGGAGTCAATGCATAAAACAACATAAACTTTCTTCCCCATCTCTTGCATATAATAGATACAACTTCATATCTGGTATCAACCAAAAAACTATAAAATAAAAACAAAAGCAGAGCAATCTTTGGGAATTATGGTAGGTTCTGATGTATCTACAAGGCGGAAAACCCAAAAGACTAGGCATCACACTTCATTAACCCTTATTGAGACAGGACAATTATTAAGGTTTTCAAGTGTCTTATGGTAATCCAGTAGATTTCCTGGAAACGATAAACTAGAGCAAAACCATGACCGTAAAGGAAGCGTTTAAGAAACATCAAATATGTATGTATCCAATTTTATATTAATAGCCCTAGCTATAGCCAATTCCAATTGTTTCAAAGATGAAAATGGAACCAGATGGACTAATCAGCCTATGAATTGACATGGACTTTCAATTCACATCTAGCTATGTAAACAAGAGAAAGAATTGACAGTTTGCACCTTACTGTATTCGTCATTAATTGTATACATGACAGCCTCCTCAAATTCCCTGTATGCCTCCCATATCTTATTCCCTCGCGACGTGTAATCCACAGGCAGTTAATGCAGCTCTTGCATATAATCCGCTGCAGCTCTATTAACTATTCCGTGGATTGAAAATAAAATAGATAGTATTTGGTCTAGTCGTCTTCCGTTGCAGGTCCTCTCCATCATCAATCTACACCCTAAAGCGCAGAAAATCGAAGGAAACACAAAAAAGAAGCTTATTATACAATTAAGAGGCCATTAATATCCCCACCACTAAAACATTTTTGTTCCGCCAACAAAACCCCATAACAAACAGGAAAGAACGTGGAATCGATTAACCTGGAGAACCGCCTCACCCGGGCTGGCGTTTTTGGAGCTATCAGTGTTGACTATATCAACTAAAAATCTTGGCAGGAGCAAGCATCTCAAAAGCAGTAGGGCGGACTAGGCGCTAGAGGAGAGGCGACGGAGGCGGGAGGAAATGGTGCAAGGGCTTGGAGCGAGGGAAGAAGAATCGAGTTTGAGCCCTCAGAGAGTTGGGAGCAGTGAAGCGGCGGAGAAGTAGAGATGGGATTGGCGGTGATCTGAAAAATGAGAAATTATAGAGGGTTGGGTCAATAAGTAACTAGAGAGAGAGAGAGATAAATTATGACACCGTTATCAATTTTGGGGGTCGTTTGGACCACCTTAATTAATAAAATGCAGATTCCAAAAATAAAGTTTTGAGTAAATCTAACTTTTTAATCTTAAATTGTGTTATTGAATATGTGGGATATATAATTATCAATTTCAAAATTAGTAGCAATATGTAGATGTACCATGAAGCCTTTATTTATCTGAAAAAATTTATATCAACGATTTTATGATCGGCTTTTTAATGGTTAATAACCGGTTATCCAACTTTAAACCTTTTGCTAACCCGGTTCGCAGACCGACCTAGTTTTGAAAACACTGCTTTTTAGCCTTTTGTTTTATTTGGAATGGAGAGTGTGGGTTTGGCACTTTGGCTTGGGCGGTAATACTTAGCCAAAAAATTTGGAATTGTGGATCCAAATATTTGATGAGCCAAAATTTAGAATTGGGGGGGGGGGGGGGGATTTGCGGGAGAGCCAAATTCCTCTATGCATGAATTTTGTAGGAATAATATGAGAAAAGCTACTCTGACGATATAATTTGTCACTTTTGTGTCTCTTATATCCCAATATGAGATGCCTATTTTGACAAATGTAATTGTGACACGAAATATACGAACTATTCTGACAACAAGAAATTTGTCACTGTTGAGTCTCTTACATCCTGATATGAGACGCCTATTTTGACAAAATTAATTGTGGCACGATATATTTGTCACATTACTCACTTTAACTGACGACTTATTCTGACAACAATTTTTTTTGTCACATTAGGCATACCAAATAGGACATATATTATTTTTGTCATATCACCGTACCTATTATGACAAACAAAAAATGAAAAAATAAAATATTTGTCCTAATAGGCCGAATTTGTTGTAGTGCTTGTTTTTTTCTGCAATTGTCTCAGTGATCCATCCAAAATGACACACACAGCCGCAGCAAACTCACTCCAAACCCATATGGAATGACAAGAAGTCCATCCCCCAAACCATAAATCTGCCCTTCGCTCGAAATTAACGGTAACAACCCTGACCTTCTCATGTTCTGGAGTATCATACTCCTAAAATAATCGCTCACACTCCCTAACCCAACATCTAGGATTCTCGCCATTGAATGAGGGAAACTCCAAAGGCTGAGTAGAGAAGAGATTACCGAAAGTTTGACTGTGAATTGCAGGTTATGCAGAGGAAGAAATCATCAGCTCAGAGTGCTGCCTTTGTCGAGCAGGAGGTGAAAGTCTCTCAGAGTGGGAATCAGCTCCCATTGTCGAAACGAGGATGTGCGGCTTCTGAGCCTCACTCTGTTGCAGAGTGTTGCCAATCGCGCCAGGATGATTTTGCGCTGGTTGCTAAACTCATCCATTCGAGCTTTGAAGGCCGCCCAACCTTCCTTCGTCGTCCGACTAACTCCACCGATGACCCGTTATGAGATTGGGGTTGGAAGACCCCCGCTCTCTACCGTCGAAGGAGACGATGGAGTGCTGAAGAGGATATAATCGCCGAGGGTGTCAGTTCTTGGTTGTTTGTGTGGCGGAGAGGAAACACTGTGATTCTCCTCACAAGCTACCTTCGTAGACGAAAGTTGATACTGAGGAGAACTTGACGGCTCCAACTGCGCAATACGACGAGCAGGTGGAGGGCGCTTTACTTGAGCAAAGTTTTGGTAAGGCAGCTGCTCCTCAGCGACAGTAACCACGGTCGCACATCCCGTTCGGCCCGTCTCCGGCAAACGCAGCAAGGTTTGGTCAAGCAATTCTTCCAATCGATCGAATCGGCACTCCATTCGGGCGGCCATACTGTTCAATCTCATGTTGATCGTCATCATGTGCCAAGAACTAGCTCTGATACCAATTTGTAATACCCCGGAGAAGAAGAGTTGAATTCTTGGCGAAGATCAACAATAGAGTTTCAGAGATGAGAAGAATCAGAGAGAAGAAAGAAGAGAAAGCAACGGAAAAACAGAGATAGAACAGAGGAAGGAAGCAGAGAAGAGATAGGGAAGAAGGAAGCAATTTCTGTAAATTGTATTCGGTATCGAGTTCAATACATGAGGGTCCTATTTATACTTGTTACACAATTACATTCCACTCCCTATTCTTAACGACTTTGCATCTTAGTCCCATTTATTACACTTGCATGGTCTGCCTATCCTCCATTCCGATTCCAATTCCAATTCCGACTCCAATTCCTCTTAGGTGAGTGTTCTTTGAAAATATATGGTTTGATTCCGTGTCAAATGTCGCATTTGCTTTATTGTTTGAAAATAGATAATTATTTTATTGTTTACTTTGGTTTTGAGTTTGTAGATTTTCTATTATGGAGAGAGATTTTTCAAAGAAGCCCTGGATAACCACGAATCTTCATGAGCGTGAAGATAGTGGATTGAATTCATTGGCACCTGGACATGTTCAAGATATGATTAGAAGACATTATCTCCAAAGATGATATTTTACATCTTGGCTTTCATCAACTTAAAGCTTATATATTTTACATGAAGACAGTTGCGAGATTTGCAGGATTGAAGGGAATTGCCGAGCTTTTTAGAGTAGCATTTTTTGCAATGAACTATGTAAAGAACACACTTCGCAATAGGATGAGTGATGACATCATGAATGATTTTATGGTTGGATACATGAAGAGTGACATCCTTGACAATTTGGATGATGAATATATTTTATATACTTTTCATATTATGAAAACACATCGTGGATCATTGTAAATATCAATATAAATTACGTTTTTTTTTCTAACCCACCTTGGTATAGTTCCTGGCTACACCAGTGCATCATGATTACCAGTTTTCCAAATCAGTTATGCTCTGCTCTCCTTCCTGCACCGTAGTCAAAAGACATTCAGATAGAATGCTAATATTGCCAGTTTCAAGAGTGGGGAACATAGGCAGAGGCACAGTGTTTGGGATGTGTCGCAGGACATAGGTAACATAGGTAAGTTTTGGAAAAAAAAATTAACACATCCCTATATATATTTATACAAGGAATCAAATATTCCAATTCGCCGCATTAATAGAGTATTAAAAGTATTTTACCAATACAATACAACTAAGTGGTTGTTATTTGATTGATATAAAATTAATTTATACCCTATAAATGAAATCTTCAATTAAAATAAATCTCTGATTGAGTTCATTATTCTCAATTACCCTATTCAATTTTGTCCAAAAATTATGAAGCTTGACAACTATTGGGCTCTCCCTTTTCTAGTTTGCTAGTTTCCATTCAATTTTTATTTTAATTATTAAATATTTTTTTATATTTTTATATTTTGAAAAGAACACACAACTAATTTTACAACCTGACAACTAATTTTACAACCTGACTCCGCCGTGGGTGGGGAATACTAACATCGAAGAGTTTGTTCTAATAGCTGAATCAAATCAAAAGCCCTATTGAGTACCAAAGTCGAGACCTTTCCAAACATTACCCTCCCACTACAAGTCTTCACCACCATCCGTTAGACCATATCAATTCCATGCCCCACACAGTAACTTCAAACTTTGCTGCTATCTTCAACCAACAATGTAACTAAGGACCAATAGCTAAAAATGTACAAAAAAGGAAAACACTTGCATACAGATGTAACACCTCAGACTCGGATATGCGCTCCCTTCACTGCCTGCAAAACCCTACAATAGAACTCCCAATCCAATTTCTTTAATCTCTCTGATATTGTTCCTCTATGAATGCTATGGTCAAAGAGATATATGTAAAAACCGCCAATTTGCACACTTCCTTGCGAAAGAAGCCAACAAATGCACGAGCATCGAAGTTGTGGGCGAAAAATGGAGTGTATCCTCGTGGTAGATAGGTTAGGTCCCACATCATAGTGCAGCCATCATGGCTTGCCGTTTCATCTCTGCAGCTTTCCCACTGCCTCTGAAGTACATGTAGACTTGCTGCAAATTGAATCCATGTCGGTGAATAAGAGACGTCAGTTAGGACTGCAGCTATCAGATAGATGACAAGCAGTGAGTGATGTACAATACAGTTAACAAAACCGAACCTGGATAACCCAGATGCTGAGAAGGGATTCAACTGTAAAAAGTGCAAATCCAATGAAGTAGAATACCTGCAACCATTAAACACTGGTCACTATGATATATTGCTTTCCACAATGCTAGAAAGAAAATTTTGGTACATATGTTACTGACGTCGCAGCTCACTGAAATCTACATGAAACACTAGTTACTGTCCAGAGAACTTACCCCCACTAGGGCATTGGTACCTAGAAGATCAATTGCAGGCAAAATCCCCCTGTACACAAGTTTAAAGCAAGAGTATCAGATAACAGATGATGAGATGGCCTAAAGAGGAGTAGCTTAACAAGTTTGCTTAGATTAAAGGGAAGATGAGAAATGAGAAATGAGAAAAGGAGGTGAAAAGAGGAAGGACAAAATATGATGATCTTCTAATGCCAGAATAAACTTACGCAAGCGACTTCCCCTTGAAGATAATAGGCGGTGCAACCGCAGCTAAGATGCAAAAACCAATGTGGAACTGCATATAAAAAATAAAAAACCAAAAAAACAGAGAGTTAGCCGCTTTTGCTGAAGGTAAAACTTGACAACAAAGTCTATACTCTATGTAATTAGGAATTGCATCAGATTACCAGGTATGCCAGAAAAAACCACCCGAATTTCAAAGCGCTATCAGTCCTGTAAATGAAATTAGTAAAACTGTCACAGAATGTAGACGTGATACGTAAGGAAGTTGCGAAGAGAGTTTTTAATCTTTTCAAACTTAATCACTTATATAGCTATGTCCAAACATGTTTCCTAACAAGAACTCCATGTGTTGCATTCACTTAAAGCATGTGATTCGACAAAAGAAACAATATAAGAGTTGCAGAGACTTATCATTTTATCAAAAACTATTTCATAAACTTTCTACTGTCAAGTGAATCAAGTTTCAGAGCTAGATGTTTCATAGAACTTATGAATCCGAAACTACCAAAGGTATCCAGAAATATGGTTTCTCCTTAATGATTGAGAACTAATAGGCTAATACCTCATTGCCCGGTAGAGGGGGCGATACCACAAAACATAGGCCCCGGGAACCCCGGATATGAAATAAATGACAGCGAGAAACCAAATGGTTGGACCTGAAGAAGAAATACAACTTTTAGGACAAGCCAAAATAAATAATAAAAATCTGTATCAATTTTGTCATCAAGATTCACCAACCTTCTCCTTTAATCCAGGCTGTGGTAACAGCAATAACATTCCAAAAAAGAGACAATATCAGACCTGCAGAAACAAGAAAAGCAGAAATGTTGACTAAACTAGATAAAGTACATCAGAGAGAGTAGCATGAGTTGGATGGCTAAAGTTGACAGGTTTACACCATGCAGCTCAACAATGAGACATAACTATATGAAGTACAAGGGGCGTACATACCCAACAAAGTGGTGAAAGCGACATATTGTATCCTTTGTAGATGGATAGGTATTTCATTGGCAATGTCATGATGGATAAGAGGAAAAAATGGAGGGAAGTTGTTCTCTTCAATTACTATTCCAGCTGCAAAATGGAAGAAAAAGAATATCAAACTAACCCACTCTAAAGAGCCTCAATGGTTACTAAAACATTTCAGCATATAATTGTACCTTGTGCCATGGCATCTTCTTTACGTTTTAATGCCTAACAAAGTCAAGAAAGCAAATTATAGAAAACTATCAGTCCGATGCGGTGAACACACGGAAGAGAAATGTACTAGGATTAAGAGTAAGGTATTTGAAGTAGCCAACAGGAATTCAGAATTATTTATGAGTTGAACACCTGTTCTCTCTTCTTCAATTCAGCCTCTTTAGCTTGGAGTTCCTTCTCCTTGGCTTTAATATCCTACAGAAGAAAGACGAATCCCATAAGCAGAACAATCCCAGTGTGAACAATTGGATCATAATAAAAATCAAGTTTTCAAATACTTTTGCGTTATCCAGTGGAATATCGACCGTTGCACCACGATCATAAGGTTCTGGAGGGAGAGGTGAAAGCCTTGAAGATGCAGGGGCAACACCTGGATTCTGGATATAGCAAAAATTCAGAAGGTTAAATGACAACACAACTCCTCAATATCCTAACACTTACATAAAAACAAGTAGACTGCAATTATGGAAATGGACTGACAGACACCAAAGAATTTTGTGACAATAAAAATCAACTTAGAGACAATTCTGTTGAATATAACAGCAGACATCTGCTGCAATAGGAAAAAAGATCCAGATAAGCTTGAAGCTCATGGTTAAAAGTTTGTCAGTACAACACCATGGATAAGCAATGAATTTCAAACTCAAAGGGTATGCTATTAATAAGCTGTGAACCGTATTATCAAGAAACCTTCATTAATCGTCACAGCTAACAATGTAGATAGATGAAACGAACAAATGTGTACTGAGTTAACAAAAAATCTGTATGGCCTCACAATTAAAAACGAAATCAATTACCCTGTGACAGTAACATGTAATGTCACCTCTAGAAGAGACAAAGACAACCCAGAACTTGAGCAAGTGAAATGCATAACAATCAAAACCGAAACTATCAGCAGTAAACGCTTTCTGCATCATGCAATTCCAACCTTAAAGATACAGCTTTAAAATTTCTGGATTAAAGGATAAGAAGGCAGGAGCTTTACCGGCATGTAGAAGGCACCTCCACCACCACCATAGCTAGACTGTCCTGGTCCTTTCCCCTTCGATTGATCCTAACATCAGCAAACATTATAATATAATCAATTCTCTTCAATCCTACGCTTAAATCAACAAACTCATGCGTTGCACAGCAAACACGTGTCATTCAACAAACTCTTGTCCATGGCCCTACGAATTCTGCCTAGGATCAATCAAAGTCAAGGTCTTCCTTCAATTGTAAAAGGGATGGAGAAACAACAGGTGATAAAGATTTCAAGTTTTCTTTTTCTGTTTCTTCCAGATTTCTGTTTCTGTTTGCTTTTTCCGGAGATTTCAACTTTGCGTACAACACAATCCATTGCTTCAAGAGGAAAAGCAATTCCCTCACACCACTACAATGCACTTACAGACACGGAACAAATGCAAACGCCAAACAGTACAAATTTAACACCAGGAACTCCGAATTGGAGCAATGGCAAGCAGATCTAACGAACCCAATTCAAACAAACCATAACCTTTGAACAAGCAGGCAATACCCACAAGGATTTTGAGTGAAGAGACAAACTATTAACATACCGCAAATGGATTGACCTCGTCTTCGTCAAAGGGATTGGAATCGTAGCGACTCATTGGACCAAAATGGAGATAAAGAGGGAAGATCTACGCGCGCCCACAAAAGAACAGCAAATCTCCTGGAGATCGGCAAAGCGCGGAGAGGTGGGATTGCGAGAAGGGGAGAGAAATTGAAGAAAGAGAATAGGATTCTTGTGGGGAGTGGGAGGTGGGTTTTGGTTAAGAAGTGAGATTGTTTCGGAGGAAATATAGAGGAATGAGTATGTGATGTGAGAGACAGAGAATGGAAAATCTCACAGCTTTACGGAAGAAAGATAGGAACCCATCGCGAGATGAAAAGGCAATTGAATTGAGAGCGATGGTTGGGTTTGGGTGGGAGGAGGTTCTAGTTTCCGGCTCGCTCCGTTGGTTGGTTTGCTACTTTTTTTTTTTTTCCAAGTAATGCCAAAGTACAATAGTTAAATCTTCTACCTAAACCCCAAAAAGACAATTAATGAAGCCACCCTACAAAATCGAAGGACGCTATCTCTACAGGGGACAGCAGCAGGGCTTGTCTTGCCACTCTATGGGCAGCCCAGTTGACAGTCCTCGGGACCGAGCAAAAGCGAATACAAGAAGAACAAGAGCTCAATAACTGGAAACAATCACGAAGCAAAGGCCCGCCCACCGAGTGGTTGGTTTGCTACTTTGCTCCCTCGTTTATTTTGTCGGCTAAACATTGTGTTAATGCTAATTACTAATTAGCAGCAGCACAGGGAATACTTGATAGATTTTTTCCCCCACGGAAACAACAATAAGGAATTACTACCATAAAAAGATTTACCATTGATTCTACCAAAATGTAATGATGGAAAAATCCTACTATACTATACTTGCTATTCGAATAGAAAAACCTCATACATGATATACTAACTTAAATTGATAAGCGGTATAAAGAAAAATTAGAGTAACGGAAAACGTAACAGTACAACAGAAATTAGAGTAACCGCCAATGTAGTTAAGACTTTTAAGTGGCAAACATGAAACAAAAAATTAGTAATATCAACGATTAACCATACTATTATCGGGTAATTAGCATAAACAGTCACAAACTTATGCACTTAGTGCATAACGGTCATAAATTTTTAATTTGTAATGATACGGTAACAAAAGTTTGAAATGGTCACTTATATTTAATTTGTGACTGTTTTGTATTAATTGCAAAAGTTTGTTACTGAGTCGTTACAAATTAAAGGTTTTGTGACTGTTTTGAGGTCGGATCATGTGTTCGTCAAGTATATGGCACTAACCACTTGAACGAATTATGAGATGTCGGGCATGTGTTCATCGATATACTTGCTTTGCCGAATAAGAATGCCCTCTATTTACCTTCCAATTTCAAACCGAGAAAGTAAGAAAGTAGGTCGAGTTTTTTCAACTAAAAACATGTAATCCGTTTGTGAGGCATTGAATTCATCACTGTCATTCTTTGTTTTTTACGAGTATTGTCATCCTTTGTTACGGTCATATCATTCACATAAATTAACAAAGCCATCATATCTCTTCTGAAGCAAATTGTAACAGTGATTGATCATTCAAACCTTGGACATTGTACAAAATGGTCTCCAAAAATTTAATTTGTAAACACAGGGTAACAAAAGTTTGAACTTGTAAGAAATGGTCACACTGTTTAATTTATTACCATATTGTTCTAAGTAGAAAGTTTTGTTACCATGTTACAAAGTAAGGGCTTGTTTGTGACCATTTTGTTTTATGTGCAAAAGTTTGTTTGTGACCATTTTGTATTATGTGCAAAAGTTTGTGATCATTTATACTAATTACCTACTATTATCCTTTATTTATATATTTTGATCATGAATTAGCGATTAAGGAAATGACGATTCCACGAACCTTGAAGAATTCAGTACAGCTCATTACAACATCTCTTGTTAAACGTAAAATATTAATTAGGGCCTAGATGAAGACAGAATACAACATAAAAATGAACTTGGAGAATCCAATAATCATGCTATGCACCAGCTTTCGACCAATTCAGCCAACATTTCATTATCAAGAACCGGCAACAAATTTGACAATACAACAACCAAAGGAAGCAGAAAAGAAAGAATAATAATGATGGGGGGTTAGGACATTTCTGCAGATCACATACATTCATTCTAGCATAACAAATACTTTTTTTCCAGCGTAACCACAACACGTACTAAAAAATAATTGACAAACATGAATTTGGTTGTGGGAGAGGGCAAGTCTTTTTTGTTTTGTCCATCCAGATCACCAGACACCTAGCTTTCTTTTATTGCCTTTGGAAGAAAGATTCTGTCTTGTTTGTTCTTCTTCCAAAGGGCAAGAATTTCAGCAATCTGAGCAAAGCCCTTCAAACACAAGAGGCCTGTTAGTTGTGGAATTTCGGCAGTGCATTTGTTTCCACAGACTAAGATATGTACTCGGGGAAAGGAGAGAGTCAAGAAACTTCAAAACTTGATGGTTCATATCTCCGCATCATTTTGCTCATTGGAGGGGGGTTCAAGAATTTGCATTACAAGTCCTGATGTTAATCTGGCTGGGGGGTCATCCGGATTCAGTCTCCTATGGATTCGCGGCTGGGGTGCTCTCTTCTGATCATGTTGTTTAGATCCTGAACAACCTCAGACATCTGTGGCCTGAATTCAGGCTCAGACTGCAGACAAGGACAAGTATTCCAGGTCAGGTTGAACATATCTATGCCTTGCTAACTAACCTTACAAGTCGTTGCTAATGTTGCTTTTCTATCAGAAGTAATCAAAATTATGCAAATTAATCTAGCTCCAATAATTTAGTTTGAGAAATGTAGCTCAAACAAACTCATGTTTCAATCTAACTTCTTCAGACATCTTTTCACCTGAAGCCATTCTTCAAATATGTAAATCTAACAGCCCGATCGTTCTTCAATAATAGTCACTACCCAAGACCCAATATTAAGCAAACCACCTGACATCAATTACTCTTTTGCTGCTTAAAAGTTCTCGTGCTACATTAACTCCAGTCTTTCAAAATTCTTATCGAACAACACTTTTTGTTAGCACTTCAAAATTACTTATTTTGCTTCTCTTTCAAAAGTTAAAGCAAACACGCCCTAAAGTTCTGGGATGTGACCAATAGAGGAGTTTGACGGGAGATTTGTTACCTGAACACATCGAGAAATTATATCAGCAAAGTTGGAGAGTGACTTAGCAGGGTATTGCCCGTTAAGAGAAGGGTCAACCATCCTGGATAATGCATCGATGTCATGGAGCTGAGGGATTGCCCACCTCACTAGAAACTGCTCACCACGGTTCCGTGACCTATACATATTTCCATCCCCGAGGAAACAAGAATGAAGATTAATTTCTATGAACAAACCATTTGGCAAAGTGATGATGCATGCGTGGAAGTTCTTATTTACCGGTCATAGGATTTTCGGCCTGTCAAAAGCTCCAACATTACAACACCAAAGCTGTAGACATCACTCTGGATAGTGTAAATTCCAGACTCAAATTCTGGTGCCCCATAGCCATATGCTGTTAGCAGCTGCCCTGACAACTGAGAAAGGGACCGAGTTTCAGAAAGAACACTTGTGAAACGAATGAAATAAAAGTGAGGAACTACCCAAACCATAAAAGGAGAGAGAAAACAAGAAAGTTTAGACAGTGTGAGGCAGTGGCCTAGGGTCTGAGATTTAGCTACCACTTTGGTGTTTGCTAAGCAAACTATGTATCGTCTTAAAATTCGCATAACCAGGATTTTCTAAGTCGGGTACAGTACTATTTTTTTTTTCTTTTTCCAAATGGGTTTAATTTAATCTTGATGTAGCTATGAGCTAATCACAAATAAATAAACTAGCATATGCGCAATATGCTTCTTGGCTTCATTAGTTCCTCGGAATGCTCTGCAGCTCCTATAATTTCCACTCTCTCGTTTAGTCAACATAAATACCTAGTTGACATATAAAGTTGTGATTATGATACCATAAAACCCAATATGACAAAGTATAGCAGATCCAAGTAACAAACACAACAATACATTCTGTATGCACCTCATGTGGCGTTTCTTGCAACTTTCATGGGCCGGGGGTTCAAAATTTAGAATAAACTTACTTCTGCTACGGTCTCTTAAAACCAACATACTAATAGAAATTCTGGTGTAATTTAAATGCTTTAAGGAGCGTACAATTGCATGAAAACGGCACATGGACAAGAAGGATCACGAAATCAGATTGCAAATCCTAGTCAATCAACATGAAGAAATTGTCAAGCTTAGATGGATAAAAAAGGAACTTTACCTGTCTTACAGAACCAGATGATATTAATGAAGCTAAACCACAATCTGAAACACGGACATCAAGATCATCATCTAGAAGAATATTGGCCGACTTGAAATTTCTGTGAACAACAGGTGGCTGGCAGACCTCATGCAAGTATCTGATCACATAGAGAAACACAATCACTAACCATTGAAGGAAGAACAGGATGAAATTTTGGCCCAACATCTGTTGGCATTAACACAGCTAAATGACGAGATTTCCACAGCTCAGCTGTCTAACAAATATAATGGTAAGACAATCGGCTTACTCGAGTGCTCTAGCAGCTCCTAGTGCCATCCTAATGCGGGTGTTCCAGGAGAGATTATCCTTTAACTCATCGTCGGAGTGCAGTAAATCCTGCAGACTGCCATTACTACAGTACTCATAGATCAGAAGCCTCTGATCATGCTCTGCACAGTAGCCCATAAGCTCAACAATGTGAGCGTGTCGGATTCGATCAATATTGTTGACCAGTTCAAGAAACTCATCATCACGCTGACTCGAAGCTCTCTTGTCCAGTTTCTTGACTGCCAGAAGCTGCAAGTACACACAAAAATATCAGACATCAAAACCTGAATCCATCTTTAGCTTAGGTGAACAACCTAAGTCCCAGTCCTTTATGAAGAAAAATAAGAGGATAATATATAAAGCTAAGATTCTAGCTCTCATTTGGCTTGGAATCAGAGGTTGCGACTCAGTGTGTATTTGGCCCAGCACACGCTTGTCATAATATTGACAGAGAACTTCCAATGCAAAAAGCTGCGCTAGAAGTACATCACTATACTTACAACCCTTTTTCTCAAAATAACATAGTTTTCTCCCTTTTGCACTATTTTGTAACTAAACCAAATTAGTCAACAGTAACATTTTAAATAAAACAAACCCATAATAACTAATTTTTATGTTGTTTAGTTTTTCTATTTCTTATTTTTTGTAGTAATTTTACATCATAATTCTAGCATTTATCAAAAGAACAATCGAACAGTTATTTTTTACCAAACCGAATTCTCTAAAGCTGTGCCAAACAGATTATTAAATTCAGTTAAGTTCCTTCGCCTGAAGAAAATAAAGCACACGCACGAAACTAATAGCTAATGGCGAACCTTCCCATTAGGACGCTCTGCTCTATAAACAGTTCCCAGCATACCGCCACCAATGAGATTTTCTTGTGAAAAGCTGTTTGTATATTGCTGGAGAGAAGCAATGGTGAAACTCCTTGCAGAAGTGGTGACATCCCTAGTTTTGGTGGAAGGTTGTGCAGCAGCACTAGGTTCAGCAGGCACAAGTGGGTTGACAATGACCTTCTCAACAGGAGCTGGTGGTGGAGGAGGAGGAGGAGGTGGTGGTGGTGGAGGCGGCGGCATATACATCATATCCATCGAGTCTAGCCTGCTCAAATCAATTTTATGATCATTCCGTTTGGGTGCTGCTGCTGCTGCCACTGTGGGAAGGCATCTTTGAGGTGATTTTTGTGGCACCAGATGGTCTTTCTTTGCCTGTGCCATTGTCTCCTTTGGATCTATTTACAAATTGTTCACTGTATGTAATCAACAGACAGAAACAGAATTATAGCGCCAAAAGATCCAGATGGAAATTTCATGTACCTTTTTCTATTTGTGGTCGACTAGTTGGCAGGAACAAAGAACTATTACTGTCTCTGGGATGTTCTCTGTTGCCTTTGTCTGCACCAACTTGATGCCGTTTGAAATTTCCAGTACCTTCTTCTGTTTTTCTACGATTCTTCGGTATGCAAATAAGGCATGCCATCACCACAATTAGAAATGCCAATCCCCCAGCAACTGAGAACCCAACTACCATTTTTTTGCTAGATTTCTTTCCACTTGATTTCTCTTGTGAAGATGGCCCCTCTGCCTTTTCTCCACGAGGTTTTCCAGGAGGTGGTGGTATTGACGATGGTGGAGACCCAGAAGGAAATGGTCTTGTTGGCGGTGGTGTTGCTGGGTAGAAGGGTGCTGGCAATGGGGCACCAGTTGTAGCGTTGAACGGGTTCCCATCTTTACTGCATAACACAACCTGACCGGTTATGGACAGCTCACACTGATCTCTTTTCTGCTTAACACAAATTCAGTGGCAAGTTTTTCTTTTTCTTCTTCTCTTTTTGTTCTACCCTAAGAAATGAAATACATAGTTACTTTTATAACTCACTTGAATGTAGGAATATTTAGCATCTTGTCAGGTATGGGTCCTGAGAACAGGTTATTCTCAATGTTCCTGTTTTGCAGAGGAAGACACAAATAAGTCATAGAAGCATCTTTAGACATTTAGGGAAACCAACCATATGACTGCAATAAATTTGAGATACTTAATGCTACTTCATAGACAAGCAAAAGAAGAGCATTACAGATCTTGAAGTGGGAGGTCCTGGAGAACATCAACGGTACCAGATAACTGATTATCCTGCAAATGCCTGCCAACACGAGTCAATTAGCTTTACAATGCAGGGGGCATTCAGGGGAAACAATGTTGTAAGAAGCTTACAATGTAGTAAGCTGAAGCAAGTTAGAAAAGGAAGGAGGCAGATTCCCACTCAAATTGTTGTTGGATATGTCTCTGCAAAAAGATTCAAGTGCTTCAATCAAACATAACACAAGCATTGGAAATGGAAACGGAAAAGATAGTTGCATGACTAGTCGAAAATGAGAACCCCTACAGATTGATCAATCCTGCTTGGGGTTGAAAGGAATCGGGTATCTCTCCACTTAAGAAATTGTCGTTCAGAGACCTGGAAGTGCAGAAGTCAATATGTGAGCTGAAGTTGCAAACCTGAACATAACAAATAATTCACATCCAGAACTCACATATCTGTCAAGAGAGGTAGAGAGGGCAGAGAATCTGGAATGCTTCCCGTCAAATTATTAGCCGATAGGAAACTGGAAAAAGAAGAGTATCATGAATTCACATAAGCAGGTAACTATAACAGTTATGAAAAACCAAAGCCACAGAAAAAGTGACACAAACGAAAAAGACACGTACAGTGTTCGCAAAGTAGGCGGCAATGTGGCTGGAATGGTCCCGCCAATGCGGTTATTGCTTAGATCTCTGGAACATAGAAATCAACATGCAAAATTAATGCTTAGGTAATGTATAATTACACTGATATAGAAGTCTATTAAAAAACATAGAGATTGCATTAACAGCGAGAGCTATACTTCCTTGTTCATGTTCAAGGAAGCACAAGCAGAAGGCCCAAAAGTTTACATAACAGAATGTTGAAACTAAAACATATTTAACTGCATGAGGAAACAACTGCCAATGGCTCCTAAATTTCGATTAACCAACTTGTATGATACAAATAATTGCAGATGAGCAGGAAAGAGAATTACATGGATCTGATAGAAGTGAACATTCCCAAACCATTGCCCAGTCCTCCACCCAAATTAGCTGCATTGAGAGTTCTGTAAAACCCCTCCCAAGATGAGTAATTGTCATGATCTACCAGTCAGTATTAACAGAAATTAAACATACGCAACAGTTCAAACCGAGATTTCTCCACACTTACATGGATATTATCGTTGAGTCATTACACTGAACACCTTGCCACGCTTCACCACAAGGGTCGCCGGCGCTGGCAACCCAGCCAGGTAAAATAGGATTCCCCAGTGAAGCGTATAGGCTATTAATTGCAGCAACTAATTCAATGAAAAAAGCAATGCTGGTGATCAGCCCCAAAGTTCAATTGAAACAAAACAAAAGAACTAAGAAACATAGCTACAAACATGACTCTGCACAGCACATTGTACTATTAAGAACATTTTCCCAAATGAAAGGGGGAAAAGCTGAAATGTCCAGCTCAAACTCGAAATTTGCTTCAACCCCCCTTTGTCTTTTTCTTTTTTCACAGAGACCAAACAGCTGAGAAAGGAGTTTCTGAGAAAAGGTGATTGTGAGAGAGCTTCCATTACCATCATTAGCATCAGTACTTCCAACAGAAACTTGAGCTGCCCAGATCAAAGCAAAGCCCAAAAGGGGCAGAGCATAGATCTCCCAGCTACTGAAGCACCGTCCACCAGATCTATGCGCTCCCATTGATCCTTAAAAAGCCTCAATTATCTCTTACTCCACCACCGTCAACCATAACCACAGCCTCCAATCTGAGAGTGCAGACCAAATTCACAGCAGAGAGAATTAGAGCAGGAAAGTCACATTCCATGTGATCCCATTCAACTACAGCTCAACAACTAAGCACTTCCCTACAATCCAAACCAAGAAACAAAATTGCAAAAAACTTTAGTTATTATTATTAAATTTCAAAAAGAAGAATCCAATAGAACAAACAATAACCCATCTCTCCAATTATTATTGTTTCTCTCTCACACTCCACCCCACCATGTTTACACTTGTAAGAAACAGCAAGAAAAAGGGTGTCAAAAAGTGAGCAAGAAAAGATTAGACAGAGATAGATAGAGAAAGAGAAAGAAAGAGAGAGTTTAGTAGCAATAAGAAGACGAAACCTTGAGAGGGAAATGCAGAAGGTAGCGAATCAGAAGCAGTCAATTGCGAATAGAAGGAGAATGGGATTGGGCAGTCTTTTTTTTGGTTGGGAAAAGTGGTGGGCTTGAGAAGCTTGAGGACTAAGATTCACGGAACCTGGATTGGATGGATAATAGCCTCTTGGAAAGTTGGAACAGACACAGAGAGAGGGACAGACGCAAGGAGAACACAAATCCCACAAGCAAGCAAATGGGAGAGCAAGTAGAAGAAGCGAAGAAAAGAAAAGAGGTTTGCCCAGAAGAGGAGATAAGGAAAAGTGGGTAGCTTTGTTTCGCTGGGGGAAAAAAGGGAAAGAAGAAATTGGAGAAGAGAATCCTACCCAAAGCAAGCAGGAGAGGGAAAGAAAGAGAAAGAAGTGGAGATGGGAAAGTGGGTATCTTCCTCTGTAGGTTGCGGTGAGAGAGAGAGAGGGAGGTGCGTCTGTTCCTATGACTGTAATCTGTAAGTAAGTCAGTCATTTTTCTTTGCCTTTTCCCATTTTGCTTTTCAACAGTTGCAGAGCAATCCGTTAGCTTTTTCTTACTCTTTTCCTCTCTCTCTCTCTCTCTCTCTCTCTCTCTCTCTCTCTCTCTCTCTCTCTTCTTTTTGGGTTATTCTTTTGCCTGGTGGCCGACGTCAAGCGAAGCAAACAAACCCGCTGGCGTTTCGGTCGCCAAATCCAGTCAGTGGATACATATCCACGTTCGGGGGCCGTCATCGCCGGTCTCCTACATAAATCTTACTTTATTTTACATAATAAAATAAGAATAGAATCAATTACCGGATAATAATAATAATAATTTAATTTAATCAAAACGAGGTCGTGGTGGAGGTGGACTGGTAAAAGTAGCACGAGAGAGCATCAACATTTAAGCGGTCGGTAGGGGTGGAAGGAAATCCCCTACCCTTTTCACAGAAAATTTATGCTGTCGGTTGATTAATTTGGCGAGTAGGAATTGTCCAATTATGTGTTGTATACTTGTATTACTTTAAAATATAAGGGCACAAGGTTAGAATTTAAATTCTTTCTGACAGATATCTTCAAGAGGTATTGTTAAAGTTTAATTTTTTGTTTCCTTGCTTGTTGGTCCTTAAGGTCCGAATTGAAGGAGTGACGGATGTTTTCATTCACATATTAAAGTTTAAATTCACCGAAAAGAATATAGTTGAAGTTTAATTAACAATCTATTCGTAAATGTAGCTAGATTCATGAACTAAATTCCGAGACACCCCCTATCGTATTAGGAGAAATTATTGATCCCTGTGTGATAGATAGTAGTAGTTTCAAGTTTGGAAGGAAAAAAAATATGAAAAGTAAATGCTTGTTTTATTGATTTCAACTCATGACTCTACAATTCTTAAACGAGAAATTTTGCAATATTAAATTTTATTGGTGTTATAGGTTTTTGTCTTTATGGTACAACTTGAATTGTACTTTTAACGTCATGGTATAATTTCATATTGTATCTATACTTTTTGTACAAATTCTTTTATGGTAGAACTTGTACCTTTATGTGATGGTACTACTTCAAGTTGTGAAATTGTATCATAACATAATGGTACAAATTCCTTTATGGTACAACCTGAACTTAATATTATGGTACAACTTTAAGTTGTACATTAAAGCACCAATACTTAATATCATAGTAGAAGTGTTCTTCTTAAAGATCATATTATTAATTATACTACAAAAGCAATCTTTTGTTGTGTTTAAGAAATTGGTTTTATTTGCAAACTTAGACAAAGTCCAATTAAAGTGTGATTTCCAGAAAGTTTCATCCAAACCCCAAAAACTAAACCCCTCAACCCAGGGTCGTCCAATGAATCGTGGAGATCATGTTTCCGAATTGAGATGTGACAAACTTTTTTAAGTACAATAAAATGAAAATGGGTATAGCATATCTTTGTTTAATCAATAATTTCAAATTAAATTATACATTCTCTCCAATTTTTTACTTTACGAGAAATCGTTTTCAATCCTCATTATCGTTAATCCATTAAGGATATCTTGTCACTTTTTTACACAAATAGGACTTTGAGAGTACAAATATGACTTTAACAATGAATATACATACCTCAATTATATTTACATGAGAATATTGACCACTGACTAGCACTAGCATTAATTAACATATTTAAACGCATCATCATAACCATAATCAATCAATCATATGCCACAAATTCAATATATAATAAAGGATTTAATCAACTAACATTACCCACGATGGAGGCACCCTACATTAACATTCTTGTGCCAAAGGGCCTCCCAGGACACCACATTGGTCTGCCTTGCCTCCACCAATATATCATTCACGAACCAAGGAAAAAAGCAACAAGATAATGAACTCTCATTTCTTCAATCGAATATGTGATCAGTTCGTGAGCAATTGTCTACTAAAATATGTTAAGTGGACATTATGATTTCTTTCAAAAAATAAAACTTGTCGTAGTGTTTTCTTGTAGCTTGTTCTAATATGAATAGACAAGAATTGAACCATGGTCTCTTCCATCAAAGACATGTAACCAATTAGACTAGACACATCTGTATTACTTTATTAATACAAAACATAGAGGAAGTTAAAATTATGAAAAACAGAGTACTTTTCTATCACGGTTAGTTAGCCCGCTAAGTCTCCTGTCAGTATTTTGTGGTGTTTGATAATTCTATTTTTATATTTTAATAATTAATTTAGAATTTTTTCTAACTTATAAATGAAGGATAATCTTTAAATCTCAACACAAATATCATTGGTTTGAATATTGCGCATTGAATTGAAGTGTTCAATGACGACATAAGAACATTGGTACCATACATTTCAAGAAAAATAAACATGACAAACACTAATACCAATTATCTCGACAGTCTATGCTAAAATTCGAATTTGTTTAATCATTGAATTTGAGTGATAGTTTAGTCAAAGCAAGCAAATAATTAACGATTGAGTATAAACAAAAATAAAAACGTATGTATTATATTATAAAAATGTATTTATTTTAAAAATCTAAAAAAGCAATCAAGACTTCCATATACAAGCCCTTAGATCAGCATTGTAATTAATGAAACAATTTTTTATCAACATGATCCAATGTTTAAGCTAAGGTCAAATTATTAATCACCAGTATATAGTATTCAGCTTAGTAAACTATTTCAATATCCACAGCTAACTATTAATGATTACTTGCTTTCTATTTGAGGGTTTAATGTAACACTCTCATGGCTACACTCTAAGCATTTTTTTTTCTTTTTCCAATATTTTTTGCAGTTATTTGTTAAATCAACTATGTTTCTAGCTTTCTATTCATAATTATTCACTGCTTCCTACCAACTTATGAGAATGATGAATATTTTTTCATGTATAATCTATTGAGTATGAATGTTGCTTATTACTTAAATTCAACGATATCCATGTTAGGTTTGATGTCTCCAACATATTCTCACAATTTCTCGAAAAAGCATCATATCTTACTATTGATATCATAGTTTGTTAGGTAAAGTTAAACAAACTCTATCAATATTCGAACTCTTTGAAGTTGCTATCTACATGTGAATATGAAGTACTGATCAGTAGCTAAAACTCTACTTGAGTTAGTACGATCTTTTGCTGTATCAATTAAAATTCAATACATGATTATCTTATTACAATTTAGTCATACTAAATGTGCAGTAGGGGACATCTTATCAAAATCGTATCGAAAGACTCCTTGATTGATCAGTTTCAGGATGTAATCAATTATACCAAATAGAAGTGATCAAAATTATAGGATGCTCTCAAAGTTTGCTATAATTATTGAGGTTCAACAACACGTTAATCGTAAGGTGGTCATTGGGAATTTGTCTATCTCCTATAGCTCACCTAGACACACTTAGACGTTGTAATAAAAATAGTAATTTTTAATAATGATGAATGAAGTAACAGTTCTGAAGCACTTTCATACTTCAGTTCAAATGATTTAACAACAAGCAAAATAACTCTCAAGTTTATAATTTTTTCTATACCAAAATGGTATAACTAATTCATTTATGAGTTGAAATAGCTAATTATAAGCACTTAAATTTTTAAGTTAAAACTCATATGATACAATTGTTGACGAAATGGTTTTTATCATAGAGTGGTTCTATCGAGAGAGGTATCTAAGAAACATGGCTTACTTTATTATTCCTTAGGTAGATATAATATATATCTTCATCGTTACTTTTACATTGGATTCAATTTAGTATACTTTTTCGTTTAGATAGATTTTTTTAATGATTTTTGGGGATATAATATATCATTATTGTATGATGATGTAGAATATGAGTTCCTCTCATTTTAGGTTCAAATTGATGCATTTTCCCTTTATCGTTCCCTTTTATCAGTTAATAATTTTTATGATATTTTTCACTATGAAATATCGTGAGCAGAATCTATACTCAACAATTTGTATTTTTTTCGCTTCCTCTTCTCTTGATTAGATATTGTGTTCATATTGATTCTTATATTGATTATTGAATTACTACTTTTTTGTTCTGAAGTTTATGAAACTAAGATGCATTTTTTTTAGAAACATGAAACTAA